CACTTGGAAGATAGGAGAATTCTGAAATGAAGTCAGCAACAGCCTGCCTTTGATAGTCGATCTTGGCTTGTACTTCAGATTGAACTGACTCAATTTTATGGCCCATTTAAGTAATTTACCCGATGCCTCTGGCTTCTGGAGGACCTACCTGAGGAAGTAATTAGTCATCACATGGATAGTATGGGCATGGAAGTAAGGTTGCAGCTTTCTGGAAGCGATCAGCAGGGCATAAGCTAATCGCTCCATTTTTGGATACCGTATCTCGGCATTCGTCAGACGCTTGCTCGCATAGTACACTTGCCATTGGATCTTTTCCTCTTCCTTTTCCCGAACTAGGGCTACACTGACCGCAAACTGAGAGACGGATAGATACAGGAGTAGGATCTCTTGGAAAGAGGCTTGGACAGGAGAGGTGGTTTCCCGATGTGTTCTTTTATAGTTTGGAATGCTTGTTCGCACTCGAGAGTCCACTCGAACTTCTTATTGGCCTTCAGAACATTGAAGAACGGTAAGCAGCGATCTGTTAGCCTCGATATGAAGCGACTTAGTGCTGCTATTCGCCCATTAAGACTCATGACTTGTATTTTGCTGGTCGAGCTTTCCATATCGAGCAGAGCTTGAATTTTCTCGGGGTTGATTTCTATTCCCCGTTGGTTAACCATGTATCCTAGGAATTTACCTGACGATACTCCGAACGAACACTTGAGAGGATTCAGATTCATTCTGTACAGTCGGAGGATATCAAACATCTCAACGAGATGCGTTATATGATCTGCAGCAACATAGGATTTGACCAGCATGTCATCTACATAGACCTCCATTGACTTGCCGATCTGATTGGAGAACATCCGATTAACCAATCGCTGGTAGGTCGCGCCAGCATTCTTGAGGCCGAAGGGTATAACTTTGTAGCAATATAGCCCCTGATCTATAATAAAAGATGTATGCTCTTCGTCTGGCCCGTACATCAGAATTTGATTATATCCCGAGTACGCATCCATAAAACTTAGCATTTCGTGCCCCGAGGTGGCATCCATGAGCTGGTCAATTCTTGGCAGGGGTAAGCTGTCTTTAGGACATGTCTTGTTGAGGTCGCTGAAGTCGACACAGGTTCGTTACTTGCCATTGGGCTTCTTTACTAGAACCGGGTTGGCAACCTAGGTCGGGTAGAGTGCCTCTCGGATGGACCCGTTTCGGAAGAGGTTATCCACCTCTAATTTTAAGGCGGCATATCGCTCCGGATCCATTGCTCTTCTTTTTTGGCGAACTGGCTTGGCTTCGCTGTCGATGTTTAACGCATGGCAAATGATATCCGGACTGATCTCGACCATATTTGCGTACGACCAGGCGAACACATCGATATTTTCTTTCAGGAAGCTGATTAGTTCGGTGGCGAGCTGGGGGTTGAGACTACTCCCAATCCTTAACACTCGGCTCGGCTCGGCTCGGCTCCTTCGGGTCGATCGACACTTCGGACAAATCCCCAACTGGCCCACTAGAAGGGCTTTCCTGAATTCGAGGATCCATACTATCCTCTGCTGGGTCAGGCTGTGGCTCGATCCGGCTGATCGCCATAACCTGTCGGGGAATACCACGCGAGATGCCCTTCCCTCTGCACGCCATCTGCACTGCTTTTATGTAACAGTCGTGAGATGCGCTTTGAGATCCGCTAACTTTCCCTATCCCCGTCGGGGTGGGGAACTTCATCTTCAGATGGTATATAGAAGTGACTACCTTGAAGTTTCTCAACAGAGGTCGCCCCAGGATCCCATTGAAGGCAGATGGGTAGTCCACGACCAAGAATTCAGTGACCTTAGTCACTTCGTCATAGTCACCCAGTGTGACTAGGAGTTGGATCGTTCCCTTGGGGATCAGGTGGTCCCCTGTAAAACCATAAAGAGGGATCGAGGCGGGCTTCAGGTCGGCCTCGTCTAGGTTCATTCTTTCGAAAGCGTCCTGGAACAGGATGTTCATAACGCTTCCGTTGTCCACTAGCATTCTGCGGACTTTATGGTGCCCTATAAGGGGCGTGATCACTAGAGCGTCGTCGTGAGGATGATGCAAATGAGCTGCATCCTTTTCGGAGAAGGCGATCGGCTCCTCCTTGCGAACCTTTTGTGGTCACTGCGACGTGTTCATCACCCTGATTGGGTCGTGATGAGCCTCGCGAGCATATCTTTCTTGGGCACTTCGCGTGTTCCTCGCGAGGTGTGGCCCTCCAAAGATTATGTTAACACTACTATACCCTTTGCGATCACGACGCTTCTTTCTTGCTCCTTTTGACTTTTCTCTTGCGCGAGAGCGGAGTCATCAATATACTCCTTAAAATGCCCCTTCTTAATGAGCTCTTCGATTGCTTGTTTTAGAGCTCGATACTCATCTGTGTGATGCCCATTGTCTCGATGAAAGCGACAGTATTTTTTATTATTTCTAGCTGTCGCGGGAGTTTTCATGGGCTCGGGCTCTCTGAGCAGGCTGGCTTCATCAGATTTACCAAGAATAGCTGATACAGATGCGTTCAGTAGAGTATATTGGTTTATGTCGCGATCGCGACGATGGACGGGAGCATAAGACTTTATGGGCTCGTAAAGAGGTTTCTTCCCTTTTCGCTGATCGTCAGCGTCCCCTCTGCGATCAGCTCTTCTACTATCCCCCCGACCAGGCATACTGCCTGAAGCGCCGGGGTTGCGACGGCGGAGTGCCGCTAATGAATTTTCTATCCGGAGGTACTTCTCCGCAAGGTTATAGAATCTTGTGAGGGAAACATCGTCCTCAGCCTGTAATTCTTTCCACAGGTCGGTTTGTGGACGAACTCCGGCTATGATGAGAGTCCGAACAGACTCTTCGGTAGTATGAGTCACCTTGTTGAGTTCTCTGTGGAAACGGTCAATGTAGGACTGGAGGGATTCATCCCTTTCTTGCCTTATATTGCTGAGGTAGCTCAAAGGCATCGAGAACTTTCGATTTGCTTGAAAATGCCTTAAGAACGTCGCGCTCATTTGAGGCCACGAACTGATCGATCCCGCTGGGAATGACCTGAACCACCGTTTGGCATGAAAGGTCAAAGTCACTGTCAAACAACGACATTTTGCTAGATCTGAGACCTGATGAAGCTCCATCAGGTCGTTAAATTCATATAAATGATCCTATAGATCGGAGTTTCCATCAAACGCCCGCATGTCGGGCATCCTGAATCCTGGTGGGAGTGGAGCAGCTAACACTTCGAGAGAGAAAGGGGATGCAGATGCGACCTGCCCTTGTTCATTTTGCTGAGCTCTTAGTCTGTCTAGAGCTCACTACAACTCCTTAATTTGCGGCAATAGAGCCGTTTGGGGATTGCTTTCACCCATGCGAGTTCGACCCTCGCGATTGCGATTGAGGAAAGTCCGAAGGTCGGGTTCCTCTTCGACTCAACCGGCGATTCCGGCCACTCTCGACACACGCTGGCTAGAGGCGTGTGATGGCGACGAAAGGTGCGGGGTATTTTCACGACCTTCGCGGTGGTAGGAACCGCCTCGCAAAGTGTGGGACCCTCTCGCATGGTGACGATCAGGATTGTTTTGCTGGTGGTGATAAGAATCGCCCCGTCCAGCACTTTATGGGTGTGTACTTGAGAGGTGACATGGGACAGCTCGGGCTGCGTCTTTTCACCGAGTCTCAATGAGACTGGTATTTAGTTTAGGACGCAGTCAATGTTTGCTGGCCCTTTGGAGCCCGTGGGCTTGTTTTTTGCCACTTCTTACCCTTTCGTCTACGCGTTGCAGTGCTCACGGCACGGGCTATTTCCCTTTGCCGCGCTTTCGCGTGACTTGCAGGCGTTTTTGGCAGTTGCACCGCCGTAGCTGACTTGGATGGTACGCCTTGGTCCAAACGGTCCAACCTTCGGCTGACCTTCTGAAGAGTGTTGTCAAACCTCTCCAGGTAGCTTCTGATGGCGGGGTCAAGCTGTGAACTTGACGGGATATCCCCTGCAACATTTTGCGGGGCTGAAGGTTTTTTGGAAGAAGTGTACCCCTGGACCTGGGGGAGCCCCTCGGCGCCCTGGTTGGTTGCTCAGGTTCTGGTTGGCGAGCCATTTGCTGTTGTAGGATCGGTAAGTTAGAGATTCTCCTGATGAAGGATGAATACTAAATCAGGCCCTCCTTCTAGCACCAAACTGTTGATGCGTGATTTTTACACCAACGAAATACACATGTGAAATGTTGAGCTGGCCCAAAAGGCACACGTGAATGTAAAGAAAAAATGATAGTAAATGCAATGGGGACAATTTTTAAAGTGGTTCGGATGCTGAGGTAACAAGTCCTACGTCCACTGATGCTTATATCGATGATAAGGGTCAGGTCGCTTTAGCTGACTGACTTTACAATGGTAATACAAGGTATCAAATGCTGAAAATTCTAGAGAGAGAGAGAGAGAGTAGCTAATCAAATGTAAAATATGCGAATCCCCTTCAATGAGAGAGGGGCTCTCAATTTATAAAGGAATGGATCGAGGCAATCATCACTAAATCTGTGGGTTGGTGAGATTATCCGTGCAAAATCCTTCTTTATGTCACATTGCCCACCTTCTATAATGATTTGCGCAATTTAGAGCAGGGATTAAACACGTGAGATCATCACAGCTCTTGACTGGCGCGCACCCATTATTCTGACAAAAGCAGGCTACGAGCGTTCCCATAATCTGACTTTTGCATGCTGATTGAACCTTACATCAACCCTTATATTTTTTAGGCATAACAGATATCTATACCATTTCTGTTTTCTCTGTTTTTGTATAAAACATTACTAATTTACTACTACAACTACTTAAAAGTGTATTTATGAAATGAAACATCTTCAATAATCTAATAATCCTTTTTATAGTACTATAAATAAACACCCCAAGGACCAAGACTGGAGTGATGAAAGCTTTGCAACATAAAATTAAATGTTAACTTAAAATAAAGCAAGTTGCCTTAATATTCTTTTAATTTTATTCATTAAAAAAACCATTTGTATTACTATTACCAAGGCTTTGGAAGAAATTTAATTCTATATACATAATAAGAAGTACATTTTGACTTTCAAAGTCAAAGACGCCATGGAATGTCCAACTTGAGCATGTTGGACAAGTACAAACTGCAGATGATAACATAGTAATTAGTAAACTGTAACTAAGCCATAAATATCATTTAGATAGCTACAGCTGCCTCAACCTCAAGAAGAGATTCACTCTGAACCTTACGACATTCCAGTACACTGCTTGCATTTGCAGCTTCAATCACTAGTTGCCCATTGACATAATGCTGGCGGCAGACAGGCATGTACACATCTGCTCCCGCAATAAGTTCAGTCTGTTTTGCCATCGTCTTTCGAAAGGTAAAGAAGGCCCGTTTCCCGCAGAGTTCACAGCGAGCTGTCAACTTGGTCACAGTATCAGCAAGGGGTACCACATCCAGAACTGGACCAAAGCTCCTTCTGCCAATGAAAGTTTGGGTTTCCATCAAAAACATATTATGGTCTATGCCAGATTTCTCTCAAAATAAGCACTTTCATGCATAGCATGATAAACAGGGTGGCTTAGAATAAAATGATAAAATTACATTTAGAAAAAATGCACCTAATGAGTATTAAATTATACCTCAAATAATCACCATCAAGGCCAGCAACAATTATAGTTTTTCCATCATGATCAGCAGCCTTGCAGCAGAAATCATAAAGGTCTTCAAAAAATTGAGCTTCATCAATACCAATCACATCAAGCTGCCCACATACCAGCAATTAGAAGACAAGAAAAGCATCCACCATATGCATCAAAACTTAAAAAATCACCTTCAGTAGTACTCACAATAGATTACAAATTTAAAACACAACAAATATTTTCAAAATGTGTAGCCTTGAACTTCCCATGAGATTTAACTTAATCATAAACAAATCTCTTAATTCAAAAGATACACGATTCTAAAATTTTCCGTAAACAATCCTTTAATTTTAATAGCACTAGCAATACACTTTTTTCCAAAGGTAGACCGGTAGAGCCTTCAACTTCCCGTAAGATTTAACTTAATTACATATAGGTCTCTTAGTTTAAAAAAATACGCAAAAAAAAATTATGACCCATCAAACCATAACTAAGCATCAAATCAACCATGATCCACCAGCATCAGTTACCCTCATCAAGTAATTAATTAAATGTTAAGACACTATAAGTACTAAGTAATAAAAACCCCAACTCCCATGTAAAGAATTATAAAATATCAGAATCAGAAAATTATCATCATAATATAGATTAATTAAATTAAATTACCTTCTCATAAGCATCATCTCCAAGTTTCTGTCGAAACGACGTGAGATCTGACAATGCCCAGCACGGAAACTTGATCCCATCGTGAGTCACCACAGAGTCAACGGCATATCTTGTATCCTTACTTGATTTTATCATAGCAACGTTCCTAAACTCAATGAAATAACAAAATTTAAAATTATCCTTTTTTTCAAATACTTTCACTAATTAAATAATAACAGCATCTCAAAATTAAAATTACCTGCCGTTGTTGCCTTCGGATCTGATCCGACGGAGAAGGGCGGTGGTCTTCCCTGCAAACATAGGACCTATGATGACGTGCACCTCACCGGAAGCGCGATGATGATACTTGGCTCCGTCTATGGGGTTCACCACCGGAATTGAAGGCTTAAAAGAAGCCATGTGTGCTGGTTGTTGCTTAATATAGGGAACGGAGTTACAGAATTAGGGTTGTGAATTGGAGAGAAGTGAGGAGAATGAAATGGTGGAGTTTGAAATAAATAGGATTTGAAAAGTTTTTTTTTTTTTTTTTTTTTTTTTTAAAAGCGCGGGGAGTGGAGCGGTTTAAAATTTTGGAGGGAAGTAAAATTGATTTGATTGGGGGAAAGTGAGAGAGAGAAAGAGGCAGGTGGGTGTAAGTGAGTTGGGCTTATTACATTACTAGCCCACTGGATTTAAGATAATTTATTTTATTAGTATTTAAGATCTTTTGTGTCTTCAAATTAGGGAAATTATCATTATTATCTTTTTTTTTTTTTTTTAAATAATTAATGCTAGTCACATGATTTTGACTTATTATTTTGTGTTCTAATTTATACTATTCGAAACTTATAAATTAGAAATTCAGTTAATATGACAATACATTTTACCTATGAGATGAGTTGATTGTTACATTAACAATAAGCTCATATATCATGGATCACATTCAAAGATTTTCCATAATGAATTGAAATCACATTTAATAAACAATAAATATTGGCTCATAACTTATTTTTACAAACTTTATTTCACAATCTCGACATGACAGTTTGCAATTGAGTAAACGAGATCCATAACAAGAAGATATAACACATTTGTGAGCTAATCAATTGCGAACTATCCCGACATTTACGATCTTATCAACTACGAACTATCACGTTAGGGGTTGTTAGAGAAGTTTGTGACATTAGATTGTAAGTGTAACACCACTATTTGTTAAAAAGAATATTAAAATTTTAACTCTTACAATTATACTCACATGAATCCCAATAAGATATGTATTAGTTTATTAGACAACTCAACTAATGTTTCTCTGAATCTCATGTCAAAGTTCCCGTAGTGCGTAGACATTCATCAATTGATATATGCCATCTGATTAAAAAATTTAAACCTAGAAGTAAACTTGAAGCAATCACATGATTGGGTGATGAGAATCAAGAGAACATAAAGCATTTAACTTTACATAATTTGATGTACTGTCTTACATGTGATCACATTTTGCTCCTTTCTTCTTCTATCTTCTATACCATCACCATCCCAACTAGTGGCAGGCTGGAGGCCTACCATGTAACCCACTAACCCAAGCCACTGGATAATGAAGTTAAATGTCTATAATAACCTTGCATCAACCCCTTTGGGCAAGTAGGTTTGCATTGTGGTTGTGGCAGGGCATTATGGGTAGAGTGACATATTAGAAAATGTGAGGACAGCTAGCTAGTGAAACGACCAAAGTAGCTTTCGTGGGAGGCACGAACCAGTCTGGTAATATATTCCCCAGGAACGACCTACACATACTCAAAGTTTATTATATAGACAAAGTGATACTTGAAAGGTTTAAAAATGACAAACACTCACTTTTCGTCATATTTTATTAGAAATTTTCATCTACTAAAAGACAAAAATGATAAAAATACTAAAATACCCATCGATCTCCATTCCCAAAGCGCGCCAGCAAGGGCCAGTGCCACTGTTTATCATAGAACTTTGTAGAAAAATGTTAAATCCGATCAAAAAAATCGATCGATGATGCAAAAGGGTTGTGCAAACAGGCTTGGGGTGAAAATGGATACGGAGAAAAAGATTAAAATTTAAAAATTTTGTGATTGTAGATGAAATTACTATACTATCTTTTAGCAGACAGAAATCCCTAACAGAAGATGACATAAAGTATTTATTTATCATTTTCAAACCTTTTGGGTATCAATCTGTCTTTATGCCAAACTTTGGGTAGGTGGAAGTCGTTCGGCCTATATTCCCCTAGTCTTAGGTTGTGTTTGGTAGCATGAAATTGATTTTTTGGCCTTGGAATTAAGTTTAACTCAAGATTCTATTCAAAAAAGAAATTTAATATCATTTAATTTTAGCTCAATTTTGCAAGTATCATTTTCAATTTAGAATTTTATATTATTTTTCTTTTTTTTTTTTCACATTTTTGTGAATTAAATTATATAGGAGTGGCATTGTTCTATTATATAAATATAAATTATTTTGACTGTTAAATAAAGCCTAATAGCCTATGACATGTGTGCGGGGATGCCACATTTTGGGAAAAGGTCACTATTCAATCGAACAATGCAATATTGTTTAAACATACCATATGTTCAGAATGGAGCAGAATGTGTTAATTAATTACCTGTAACAGTAAAATATTTGGTGGTTTAATGATAGAACAAAGTGAGTTTGGATTGGATTATATATAAACATCAAAACATTAAATTGTTGAAAGGAAAATGGTTTTTATGGGGTAGGAAGGATTAAGCTTTAGCCATTGTTTACAATATTAAGCTCCTTTTTTAACCCTATCATAAATAGGCTTTACCTTACCAGAATTTGTGGTTGATGAATTGAATGCTTAAAAATGTAAAAATAAATAAATAATTATAAATATTGCTACTAACTTACATCTAAATTCACAGTCAACTTATAAAAAGTAAACCCAATTAATGGAGTTGAATAAAAAGCTAAAAACAAATTGGTGGAAACTAATTGGTGATTATAATTCACATTCAATACAAAGTTTTATATGTCTATTATTTGTTCTATTTATTTTCTTGGTAATTATATAAGCAAATTTGAACAAAACTTTCTTCTTCGTTGCATAACAAATATATTTCCATTTTTAACTTTAAGAGGGTATTTTAATACTACATTATCTTAAGCTCCAATTTCATAAATAAATATATGGTCACTCTTTGGACACATAAACATGCATTTTTTTTTTTTAATATCATCGAAGGTGTTTGGGTTAATTTGCACGTACCTCAACTAATCTCTCAAGATTCTGGAACTGTCGATGACCACTTCTATTAATGCCTAGAGAGAGTTGAACTTAAAAATTTATGAAATTTTCATTTGTTTTTTTACTATCAACCAACCAAATGGTGGCCACATAAAAATATTTTAAGTTTATTACGTCGCAAACGGAGCAAAATTCATATGATACATGTTTATATAATATGTGTTTTAAGATTATGATAATTTCTTTCAATTCATCACATAAATGCCAAATATATGGACTTTTATTATAATTCTTGACACTATGAAGTATACACAAGTGTTTGACACATTAGACATACGTTTTGATGATTATATTAAGAAGTATATTGAATATGAAAAAATCAACTCTGATAATAGATATATAAGAAATTAATTATCTTTGAAGACACTAAATGAGCATATTATAAATTATCATAAAGATGATATTAAGGTGATGCTGTAGAATTGATGTAACAGTTATCTGTATGGATTGTTTATATATAATCAAATAAAATAAAAATAAATAAAAATCTGTGTGAATTTTCTGAATGTTTGAATTTTAATGGTGATATTACAAAATGTGTAAATAAACAAAATGTGTCTCTCTATATATTCCTCACACAAGACTCCTCTCAGCCTTCTCTCCTTCTTTTTCTTCTCTCTATCACATGTCCCTTTTCTCTCTCTAGAAAAACCAAACATCAATTTGGATATTTATATGTATTTGTATTGAAGATTGTTTGGTGAATGAATTTGCATTTCTCTAAATCACAACCAAAATTTAACACAATTCAATTAATAGTAATAGATAAGAGAGCTTCTCTGGTTGCATAGAGGAGGATGGGCATGCCTCCTCTCATCAGATCTTAGTTTTTTCACAGATTTGGGCATCTGGGTCTGCTTTGATTGGTGGGTTTTATCTACATCTTGATTTGGATTTCGATCTTTATTAAATTGTGTTTTTTTTTTTAATTTCTATAGATGAGTTTGTTTGCTGGATATATAATTTTTTCTTTTTAATTTTTTGTTTATTGTTGTACTTTCAGGTTGATGCTTAATTTCGGGTTTGTTGATTGATCGACGAAGGATCTGTTGATTATAAATTGAATCAGAAGATATTTGTTTTGTAACTGAATTTATATTAATTGCGTTTCACGTTGTAAGGTATTGCTTTTGTTGCTTTGATTGATTATACATCAGCATTATATCTTATCTGCTCTAATTCCTTGTACTGAAGATTGTTGGGTCATGGAATTGTGTATTACCGATTGGATCCAGTGTTGGAATATGTCTTTTCTTCTATAAATAAATTTTCTTCTGGGATGAAGTCACTGTTAGTGTAATTTGCATTTGTTAATTATTTATTGACGTGTGTTGTTAATTTCATTATGTAGAAAAAATGCAATCAGATAATGGCAAGCTATTTGTTGGTGGAATATCTTGGGACACCAATGAGGAGCGCCTCAAGGAGTATTTTGGTAATTATGGGGAGGTGATCGAGGCAGTGATTATGAAGGATCGGAACACAGGGCGTGCTCGTGGATTCGGTTTTGTTGTTTTTGCTGACCCAGCTGTTGCTGAGATTGTCATACAGGAAAAGCACAACATTGATGGAAGGATGGTAAGTTTTTAATCCTAAGTACCTTCAGATTTTTTGTTATGCCATCATCATTGGTTTTGTTTTTCCTCTGTTTTTTTGTATCATATAGAATTGGATTATAGGAATTATAAACCGATATTGTAATTGCAGGAATTCGTTTAATTCTGGCTCTGTGTGTTCAACTAATTTCAAATTGAGCCAAGAGTAAAAATCATGCCTTCTCTTCTCATGCATTTATTTATCTATTTACTAATGATGCCAGTTTTTTCATAACTTATTCATTTATGATCTTACACTCCTAAGTTGAGTGCAGAGTTTGTAGATCTTTTGTTATTGGATTTGGTTTTCATCTGAGTTATTTGTCCTCAGGTTGAGGCAAAAAAGGCTGTTCCTAGGGATGACCAGAACATGTTGAGTAGAAACAGTAGCAGCGTTCATGGTTCTCCTGGTCCAGGTCGCACAAGAAAGATTTTTGTTGGAGGTTTAGCATCCACAGTTACAGAGAACGACTTTAAGAAGTACTTTGATCAGTTTGGGACTATTACTGATGTTGTGGTGATGTATGATCACAACACTCAGAGGCCGAGAGGCTTTGGATTCATCACGTATGATTCAGAGGAGGCAGTGGACAAGGTGTTGCATAAGACTTTTCATGAATTGAATGGTAAAATGGTTGAGGTTAAGCGAGCAGTTCCTAAAGAATTATCACCTGGTCCCACTCGCAGCCCACTAGGTGGATATCACTATGGTCTGACTCGGGTTAATGGCTTGTTTAATGGCTACACTCAGGGATATACTCCTAGTACAGTTGGGGGCTATGGACTTAGGATGGATGGTAGATTCAGTCCAGTTGCTGGTGGACGAAGTGGGTTTCCTCCATTTGGTTCTGGTTATGGAATGGGTATGAATTTTGAGCCAGGCTTGAGCCCAAGTTTTGGAGCTAGTGGAAATTTTAATAGTAATATCAGTTATGGAAGGGGTTTGAGCCCATATTATATTGGAAATACAAATAGGTTTGCTAGTCCCCTTGGATATGAAGGAGGCAATGGAGGAAATTCCTCTTTTTTCAGTTCAGTGACAAGAAATTTGTGGGGGAATGGGGCCCTTAATTATAACACAAATTCTCCAAGTTCCAATGCATATGTGGGATCTGGAAGTGGAAGTATTGGAGGAAGTAGCTTTGGCAATAGTGGAGTCAATTGGGGCTCTTCAGCAATTTCTGCTCAAGGTGGAGGGAATAACGTTTCTAACAGTAATGTGAATTTTGGGTATGGAGGTGGTGATAGCAATTTTGGGCTGGGGACAGGAGGATATGCAAGAAATGCTGGAACTACTTTGGCCCAAACATCATCATATGCATCATCAAATGGTGGCTATGATACAGTCTTGGCGGACCTTTACGGTGGTGGTTCAGTTTATGGAGATCCAACATGGAGATCATCTTCATCTGAGCGAGATGGTTCTGGTTCATTTGCTTATGGGTTTGGTGGTGCTACTTCTGATGTTTCTGCTAAAAATTCTCCGGGTTTTGTTGGTGCTTATAGTGTTAATAAGAGACAGTCAAATAGAGGTAAGAGCGTCTTGTTCATTATCTTCATTTATCTGCTTGCTTCACTTCCTTTTAGTGCATCATTGAATTTTAAACATAGAGAATTTTTGGTAGATTTATTTTAGTTATAGAACCAGTATGGTTATTAATAATGTTTCTATGAGAAAATTATGCTGGAGTCTGCGAGAACTTCAATAAAGATGGCAAATTTAGCTTTAGTCTTTTATGCCCTTTTTGTTTCCTTTCCACCGAAGGAAAATCATAGTATTATTAGAAGAAAACCTTCTTTTGTATGAAACTTAGTATCCATTTCATATAGGAGCTACCATAGCCAGCATCATTTGGTTATAATTGAAAGTTTCTGCACTTGCTGAAGGTGGTTGTCTCTATGCAATTTTTTTTGTATCATTTTCTATAAGTGCAATTTCAAGTGTCTAGTTTAGTTGATGATGCTCCAGTAATATATGTCAATAAGAATGGATCCCATTTGTGAAGCTCATTGTTTGTACTGCTAAAATGTTAAGTGAATCAATGATATTGTATACTGTATTCTTGATGCAATGAATATGTGCTTTTTGGTCATTTAAAAAAAAAAAAAATTGTTAAAAACTTAAGAAGCTATGCTTCTCCAAACCTCAATCTTGGAGTTGTTAACATATATCCTGTTTTCTACTACAGACTTAATTTGATTGATAGAGATGTGAAGCATGCTCTGTCTTCTTCTTCTTCTTCTTCTTCTTTTATAAATGAATTATTCTGAATTAAAATTGAAAACTTCACTTGCTATGACTATACAACAGATTTATCAACTGAAAGATGATTGTTTATATGTAATATGTTTAGTATCGTTTATGAGATACAAGTCAGGAATGAATTTGCTAGGTTAAATGATTTTGAAAGCAAAGGTAATAAAAGTGATCTTGTGTGGTTGTATTATCACAAGTAAGCAGAAATGTGGAATTACTATTATTGTCTATTTGGTTGGTTTGTGTCTTAGTTTTTGACCTATTTAGTTATACGCCAGTATGAATGTGTGGCAAGTGTGGTTGAATTTTGGATGCTCAACAAAGAAGACATAGTATGTATCCATGCATAACCAATGCACTCTTTCTCTCATGCAGGCACTTCATGGTGCCCTGACCCTGGATATTTCCTTGAATTTGATGATGTGATGTCTCTTTTCCTGGAAAACAACTTGTTCCTTGAACTCCATTGGTGTATCCAACCTAAGTGTGATATTTCTAGTTCACTCTAAAATCTGCTAGTTACTGTAGGCATGGCTGGTTTCATGAACATTTAAGAAATAAGGTGCATAGGGGAAGAAAGATGTTTGATTTGAAATTAAATTGTGAAGAACTAGGGGCTGATGTTCTTTCTTTAGTAGCTATGCGGATAAGATTTTGCCTATGGATTTGTGTATGAGCATATGCCTTTAAAATGTGACCTGGTTTTTTATATTCTTTTTGAGACAGTGGAGTTGGTGCAGTCTTTATTTTCTCGAGTTTAATGTTTATGAAAACTTACAATTCTGTCAAGGAAAGATCCATTACAACCCGGTTTGCAAGTCTTTGCTATCCTGGGATTCTCTAAGTTTGTGACAATGTCATAGAATTGTTTGGGTCTTTGGTCTTAGTCTTGCCTATGAACTTTGAGAAGGAGTTTCCCTATACTTGAAGGTGTGGCAGGTAGAATAATTCTAGTGATGTGGAGATTGGTTAATGCATGGAAATCTTAAGTCTAATAGATATTCGGTCAAGACCCCTTCCCTGCCATTAAGAATTTGGGAGAATATTAAACAAAATAAAAAATACTTAAATGCAATTATGTCTGTAATTATGGTTTTACCAAAATTGTTGCTTTCCTATTGTTTTTTTACTAAGACTGGGAAGGACTTCAACCTCATAAGGAAATTGCAGAATGTAAGTTATTTATCAATTCAATATGAAGAAATGGGCAGCGTCTGCGTCTGAAGAAATGGATAACCTTCTCTTGTCTAGCCTATTAGTCTCTTATGCAAAATTACATTTCTAAAATCTTTTGAGAGCTGATTCTTGTAGGATTTTCTTCATGGCTTGTTTAATGGTCTTTCAGATAATTCTCAGGTTTCTTTAGAGTTTTTATGAGTTGGCTTAGTAAATCACCATTTGCTCAATGTCCTCGTTTTGGTGTGCAAAAGTGCAAATTCTTTATGATTTAGGTGAAGTTGTTTCCTCAATGTAATTTTGAAAATCAGCTGATGGCATAAATGAGTTACTGTGCTTTACAATGAGTGGAAGCTTAGTTTATTAGTATTTCAGTGATTTTCTTTGCTAGTTATGTTTTTCCCTATTGATTTGAAATGCTCTTGCTTGTGCTATTTGTAGCCGTTATTTTTGTTACTTGTGGTTGCAAATTACTTATATTTTATGTTTCTCAAACTTGGCAGTTAATTCAGCTAATTGTGGATCTAGTTCTGATGCTGACTTTTGTTTTTATCCTTGCTACAGGAATTGCTACCTAGGGAGGAACAATTTGGTCATCACGACACTATAGGTGAAAGATATTGCTGTGAAGCAGGTGAATTGTGAATTTCCCACATCCTCTTCGTTAATATGTTTCAGTTAGAAGAAAATTGGTCATCTAGAGCTAACTGGTGTGTCTGTTTTGAAGAATTAAATTTAGAGATAGAAGTTACAAGGGATTTTGTGTTAAGGCTTGAGTTTTGAATTATAGAAGTTACAAGGGATTTTGTGTTAAGGCTTGAGCATTGAGTTACCATTTTAGGTTTTTAGTTTTTGGTATTTGAGTGAGATGTAAAATCAGATTGCGGCATATAGTCAGAAATGTATTATGCATCTCCGGTGAGGCAGCAATACGTAACGATATAGACTATTTTTTTTTTTTTTTTTCCTTAGATTCTTATGCTCTGTATTGGCTCTGGCAAAGTTGTGGATTTTTGTCAGATATGCTTTTTTTTTTTTTTTACATTGTCCCATTATTTGGGTTTGTTTCTCAGTAGATTGTACCTGAGGTTCTTGTTGATTGACTAGTGTGAAACATTAAAGGGATACCCATCTAGGGTCCATCTGAATAATTTCCCATATTTTTATTCTTTTTCAATTGAAATATTTTATGCAACAAGTTGAAAATTCATTTGTTGTGAAATACTCTTTGAATTGATTCTGGATCTAATAATGCTTGAAGTAGTATCAGATTGAAAGTTGCGATGGACTTTAGTATTCTTTAAATTGTGTTTAACAAAGTTTACTATTAGGTTCTATATAACAATCTGTTTGGTAAACCGAGTGGAACCCAGCAGGCTATGGATTTCACTTTGCAGTATAATCTCCATACACGACTATTTGCTGAATCATATCTGCTATGGACAATTATTATGTAATTTATTCTTCTATCAGCATTTGAATTCTGTCTGTTACATGTAAGGATCCCATTAATCGGCATCTAGGCTTTCAAGTCTCATTTAAGTTTTCCATCAAGTATGTGGTCGTTAATCAATATAATCAGTTTGAGTCTGTCGAAATAATCATTTTTATGTAGAAATATTGAATTTGCTGTAAATCTAAGCTGTTTACCTAGTTTAGGAGTTTTGAGTTTACTATTTCAGAACTTGCTTTGTAATTTACAAGCTAATATGGGTAAGTGACAATGACTCCCACCACTTAGGCTGTGCAATGGGATGAGATCTCTCTCTTTTTCAGGGTCTAGTGTGGATTTGTTTCTCTCCACTCCAAACTAGGGCCTGATTGGGAAAACCATGCGTAGGCATGCATGTGTTGAAGTATGGCATTAAGGAATTGGTTAAAGAATCCTCGATTATGTAGATGATAGAGACACCTTAAAGTGAGACCATTTTGTTTGTTATACTCATTTGCAGCACTTTATGTTAAAATATTCATTCATAATCCTGATGGGGATTGAGTTTGAGTAGTGGGAAGAAACTGGAATATCAAATACCACAAAAGTTTTGACAAGATTTTGAAACCTCTCCATAAGGCTGTTATCAGTCAACTTCAACCTTTACAGCCTGTGTAAATATATATTCAACGCTACACAAAAGCACATTATTCATCCAAAAAAGTTGTTCCATGAGTTTGAACCTTTTTTACCCTTTATTAATTCTTTTGAATAGCTTGTTATGGATGTTTAATTCTCACCGTTACATGAGCTTGTTATCTAAGAGATTCAGAATTTTTAAGCCAACATTAACATTCGGTTTTTTTTCAATTAATATACTCCCCATTGCCTGTTGATCATTTTAACATCAAGAGATATCTTATACTTTATCAAAATTGTAGCCGTGTATAAAATTGGCTCCCCTATAGAATATATATTAATAAACCTTTTGTTCAGCCTTTATCAAATAACGTCAAGATGGCCGAGTTGGTCTAAGGCGCCAGTTTCAGGTACTGGTCCGAAAGGGCATGGGTTCGAATCCCATTCTTGACAGAAAAATATGCTTTTCTTTTAAAATTTATTTCCCTCTATTGCATTTTTATTTTTTATTTTTCATTTTGTACAAAATTGAAGCATGATACATATGTTACATAACAATATAACATTCCACTTAAACAACAAATACAAATATGTAAATTTCTTTTAAGAAATCAGAAATCAGAAAAATGAAACAGGTTACTTAAAACATCACACTAGGGAATTGTGATGTTAGCCTTAAAAATTTGACGCAAAATTGTTACAGCATAGACTTCAAAATTCCCCCCACTCAGCTATGGATTCCACTTCCTTTATCGTCAGACCCACCAATTAATCCTTCTCTTCTTAGCTTATCTTCCTTAGCTTTTCTACAAAAAATGATCCAAGAGTTCACCTCTAAAGCTATACAAACACCAATCAATGAAGATAAACACAAACAATAAGCCAACTTAGCATAAGACCTGCCTTCTCCCATCACTTCAAATCCTTGGAAAACATTCACAACTCCTAGCACAACACAAGCATACCCAACAAAATGGTGATACGATTTCCAATACTTCCTAAATTTGTTTGTAGTCTTGGGCCTAAACAGAAGTGCAAGTGTCTGTAAAGCCCCCATGCAAAATGCTGCAAACCCAAGTTTGCGATGCAGCCCATACATCACTCCTGGTGACAATTCTCCCAGCCTGATTCCAATGGCAAACCCAACTGTCCCTAGAAAAAATGCACCAAGTTGGATCCCTGAATGAGCATAAAACCAAGAAGGCCCCAGTGCTTGTATGTGGCGCAAGTACCTTGCTGTGACTGCTCCAACAGGAAGCAAAACACCCCACGAAATTGCGTTTATGATCCCATGCACAGTTCTCAATGTTTTAACATTGCTGTGTTGGATAGCTGTGGAGCCAGACTTTATATCAATAGTTGCAATAGATGAAAGATCATTGGAAGTTGTGGGGTGGATAGTTGGAGAGTAGCCTTGAACATAGAGGCCACGGTTCCATACATAGTGTATTTTTGTTTTGTTGGGTACAAGTTTTAGGGTAGCAAAAATTTGAATTGTGGCACCATTGTGAATAGTTGCCATTTTGCCTCCATAAAGAGTGGCCGAGGAAGATATGAGGTTGATGTCAAGAGGTCTAGAAAGAAGAGGGGATTTTTGTAGCTTAACAGTAGGGTCTAAAATGTAAGGAAGTAAAACTAACTGGCCAGAGTTAGGGTCAGGAAAGGCTACTAGAGCACGGGTACCAGTCATTTCAGCTGAACTCGGGTTTACGCCCCATCCAACCCAACCTGAGGGTGAAATAAAGGTGCCAAAGAAACAAAGGTCTAATGTTGCATTGTGGGCATGGAAGGTCCATGCAATTGATGCTTGCTGGGTCGGAAGTATCATGCATTTTTGAAAGGTTTTTGTGGCAGTGGTGGTGGTGCAATGTGCCGGGAAGGCAGTGTGTAGATGGGAGGAGAAAAGAAAGAATAGGAAGAGGAGAAGCATGGTGGTGGAAGAAGAAGAGAGGAAGGGAATAGCTAAAGAGATAAACAAGCTTTTGTTAACATCTATGTGTTTGATAATAAGAAATGAGGATGATGATGAGTCATGATGGTTGTTGGACATATGTAGAGAAATTTGTGTTGTGCTTTGCTTTGAAGGTAAGCAGAGAATACTGTATGTTGGTTTGGTGAGATGTGGAGATGTGGGTTTATATGAGCATATTGTCTATCTGCATAGTGACAGTAGATGGAGTATTATATATTCTTAATCACATCATTTTGTTGTTGTTTTTGTATTAGAAAATGGAAGATTATTGTTTGAGTGGGGAATCAGAATTGTGGTGGTGTTGGCGTGGGCGTGGCTTTGAAGCAAAGTTGCAAAAGTGATTTTCTTGATCATTTGTAATGTAGGAACTTTTTCAATTGAAATATTTTATGCAACAAGTTGAAAATTCATTTGTTGTGAAATACTCTTTGAATTGATTCTGGATCTAATAATGCTTGAAGTAGTTTCAGATTGAAAGTTGCGATGGACTTTAGTATTCTTTAAATTGTGTTTAACAAAGTTTACTATTAGGTTCTATATAACAATCTGTTTGGTAAACCGAGTGGAACCCAGCAGGCTATGGATTTCACTTTGCAGTATAATCTCCATACACGACTATTTGCTGAATCATATCTGCTATGGACAATTATTATGTAATTTATTCTTCTATCAGCATTTGAATTCTGTCTGTTACATGTAAGGATCCCATTAATTGGCATCTAGGCTTTCAAGTCTCATTTAAGTTTTCCATCAAGTATGTGGTTGTTAATCAATATAATCAGTTTGAATCTGTCGAAATAATCATTTTTATGTAGAAATATTGAATTTGTTGTAAATCTAAGCTGTTTACCTAGTTTAGAAGTTTTGAGTTTACTATGTCAGGACTTGCTTTGTAATTTACAAGCTAATATGGGTAAGTGACAATGACTCCCACCACTTAGGCTGTGCAATGGGATGAGATCTCTCTCTTTTTCAGGGTCTAGTGTGGATTTGTTTCTCTCCACTCCAAACTAGGGCCTGATTGGGAAAACCATGCGTAGGCATGCATGTGTTGAAGTATGGCATTAAGGAATTGGTTAAAGAATCCTCGATTATGTAGATGATAGAGACACCTTAAAGTGAGACCATTTTGTTTGTTATACTCATTTGCAGCACTTTATGTTAAAATATTCATTCATAATCCTGATGGGGATTGAGTTTGAGTAGTGGGAAGAAACTGGAATATCAAATACCACAAAAGTTTTGACAAGATTTTGAAACCTCTCCATAAGGCTGTTATCAGTCAACTTCAACCTTTACAGCCTGTGTAAATATATATTCAACGCTACACAAAAGCACATTATTCATCCAAAAAAGTAGTTCCATGAGTTTGAACCTTTTTTACCCTTTATTAATTCTTTTGAATAGCTTGTTATGGATGTTTAATTCTCACCGTTACATGAGCTTGTTATCTAAGAGATTCAGAATTTTTAAGCCAACATTAACATTCGGTTTTTTTTCAATTAATATACTCCCCATTGCCTGTTGATCATTTTAACATCAAGAGATATCTTATACTTTATCAAAATTGTAGCCGTGTATAAAATTGGCTCCCCTATAGAATATATATTAATAAACCTTTTGTTCAGCCTTTATCAAATAACGTCAAGATGGCCGAGTTGGTCTAAGGCGCCAGTTTCAGGTACTGGTCCGAAAGGGCATGGGTTCGAATCCCATTCTTGACAGAAAAACGTACTTTTGACTTTTAAAATTTATTTCCCGCTATTGCTTTTTTTTTTTTTTTTTTTTCATTTTGTACAAAATTGAAGCATGTACATATGTTACATAACAATATAACATTCCACTTAAACAACAAATACAAATATGTAAATTTTTTAAGAAACAGAAATCAGAAAAATGAAACAGGTTACTTAAAACATCACACTAGGGAATTGTGATGTTAGCCTTAAAAATTTGACGCAAAATTGTTACAGCATAGACTCAAAATTCCCCCCACTAGCTGTGGATTCCACTTCCTTTATCAGACCCACCAATTAATTTCTCTTCTTAGCTTATCTTCCTTAGCTTTTCTAAAAAAATGATCCAAGAGTTCACCTCTAAAGCTATACAAACACCAATCAATGAAGATAAACACAAACAATAAGCCAACTTAGCATAAGAACTGCCTTCTCCCATCACTTCAAATCCTTGGAAAACATTCACAACTCCTAGCACAACACAGCATAACAACAAAATGGTGATACGATTTCCAATACTTCCTAAATTTGTTTGTAGTCTTGGGCCTAAACAGAAGTGCAAGTGTCTGTAAAGCCCCCATGCAAAATGCTGCAAACCCAAGTTTGCGATGAAGCCCATACATCACTCTGGTGACAATTCTCCCAGCCTATTCCAATGGCAAACCCAACTGTCCCCAGAAAAAATGCACCAAGTTGGATCCCTGATGAGCATAAAACCAAGAAGGCCCCAGTGCTTGTATGTGGCGCAAGTACCTTGCTGTGACTGCTCCAACAGGAAGCAAAACACCCCACGAAATTGCGTTTATGATCCCATGCACAGTTCTCAATGTTTTAACATTGCTGTGTTGGATAGCTGTGGAGCCAGACTTTATATCAATAGTTGCATAGATGAAAGATATGGAAGGTGTGGGGTGGATAGTTGGAGAGTAGCCTTGAACATAGAGGCCACGGTTCCATACATGTGTATTTTGTTTTTGTTGGGTACAAGTTTTAGGGTAGCAAAAATTTGAATTGTGGCACCATTGTGAATGTTGCCATTTTGCCCATAAAGAGTGGCGAGGAAGATATGAGGTGATGTCAAGAGGTCTAGAAAGAAGAGGGGATTTTTGTAGCTAACAGTAGGGTCTAAAATGTAAGGAAGTAAAACTAACTGGCCAGAGTTAGGGTCAGGAAAGGCTAATAGAGCAGGGTACCAGTCATTTCAGCTGAACTCGGGTTTACGCCCCATCCCACCCAACCTGAGGGTGAAATAAAGGTGCCAAAGAAACAAAGGTCTAATGTTGCATTGTGGGCCTGGAAGGTCCATGCAATTGATGCTTGCTGGGTCGGAAGTTCATGCATTTTTGAAGGTTTTGTGGCAGTGGTGGTGGTGCAATGTGCGGGAAGGCAGTGTGTAGATGGGAGGAGAAAAGAAAGAATAGGAAGAGGAGAAGCATGGTGGTGGAAGAAGAAGAGAGGAAGGGAATAGCTAAAGAGATAAACAAGCTTTTGTTAACATCATGTGTTTGATAATAAGAAATGAGGATGATGATGAGTCAGATGGTTGTTGGACATAGTAGAGAAATTTGTGTTGTGCTTTGCTTTGAAGGTAAGACAGAGAATACTGGTTGGTTTGGTGAGATGTGGAGTGGCTGCATAGTGGATAGTAGATGGAGTATATATATTCTAATCACATCATTTTGTTGTTGTTTTTGTATTAGAAAATGGAAGATTATTGTTTGAGTGGGAATCAGAATTGTGGTGGTGTTGGCGTGGGCGTGGCTTTGAAGCAAAGTTGCAAAAGTGATTTTCTTGATCATTTGTAATGTGGGGAGGGTTAGGCTTATTTCTAAACTTTCAAAAGTAATCGATGCCCATTCCCATGCCCTACAGGCAATCATTTACAAGTTCAATTTTGATGATACAAGAAACGAAGTCCATATTTTTTTTTTTCATGACGAGATGGTTTGGACTAGCTTACATGCACTCAATTAATCTTAGAATCCTAGAACTATGACCGATAACAGCTCCGGTAGCTACCCCATTAGCACCCGAAAGGGACCGAACTCAAAACTTTTCAGTAATACATTTAAGAGTTTTACTGAACCATTCGACACCTAAAGATAGTTCATATCTTGATGCTATTAACATCTTAGAGACAAACTATTTATCCCACATTCACCAACTATAGAATTGATAAGTGTCCAACTTTAATCATTTTGCAATGAGTAAACGACATGTTTCCACCTAAAGATTAGTGAAAATCGCAGTTCTCATCCCTGCTTTCATTTATTCCAAATATCCACTCTTAAATTAACACTATTAATGATTTTTGGGTTCTGATCCAATATGAAGAATTTTATTACCAAGCTGCCCTTACCAATAAATTACCTTTTAACCCAAATAGATTTGGATTTTTCTGGCAGACACAAGAGAGGGGAAAATCGGGAAAAAAGGCTCAGATCTAGCCAAATTGGAGGTGAATGAGGCTAGGGGATGGATGGGTTTTGTCAGGGATGAGTGGGGGAAGCTAGAGGCAGTGATGGTGATGTCAAACGGCGTCGGAATCCGGCTAGATCTGGATTTTTCTAGCAGTCACGAGGGAGAGGAAAATTGCGGATAAAAGGCTCAGATTTGGCCAAAATGGAGGTGAACGAGGCTGGGGTATGGATAGGTTTTGTCGGGGATGAGTGGGGGAAGTTAGTGGTGGTTGCGGTGATGTCAAACGAAGCCAGAATCCGGCTAGTTCTTGATTTTTCCGGCAACCGCCAGGGAAGGGAAAATCGGGGAGAAAAGGCCTAGATCCGACCAAAATGAAGGCGGACGAGGTTGGTGGATAGATGTGTTTTGTTGGGGATGAGTGCGGGAAGCTACTGGTGGTGACGGTGATGTCAAACGGCGTCAAAATCCTGCCAGATCTGGATTTTTCTAGTAGTTGCGAGGGAGGGGAGTGATGAGGGGTGTTTGTGAGAGAAATTTGAGATGTAAAGGGTTATGTTGAAATTTTTATTTTTATTTAAGATTTAATGCAATTCAAATGATTTTCTGTAAATTTAAGTATGAAAATGTAGAATAAATGAAACTAAGGGTAGAAACTAGAAAGTTCACTAATCTTTGGGTGGGAACATGTCGTTTACTGTTTTGCAATATACAAATCTCCATTAGAATAAGATAATAGACGGATGAGGAGGTTGATCGTTTTGATCAAGTTCACAAATTTACATAGTAAGAAAACGAAAGGAAATCAACAATATATAATATTAAAATATTATAAATGTAATATATTGACTTTATATGCTATAATGTATAATTAACTGTTATAAAATAAAATAAAAGATATGGCCCCGTAAATTCCATAATTCCTGTTTACAATATTACGCTCGTAATATATTCTAATTAAAAAAAAAAAAAAAAAAAATAATTCCTGTTTACAATATTACGCTCGTAATATATTCTAATTAAAAAAAAAAAAAAAAATTAATTCCGTAACTCCTTTTTTGAAACGACAGTGTCGTTTAATTTTTCTAATTTGCTTCAGTGGGCAGCTACTTGTCTTCTATGGATCGTTGTTCATAGAGAAGATCAGAAGCAAAATGGCTGTGAGTTTGGAAGGAGACAAGGTGATACTTGTACCTTACATGAAAGAACACGTACCAAAGTACCACCAGTGGATGGAGGACCCAGTTCTTCTTGAAGCCACGGCGTCCGAGCCTCTAACCCTTGACCAAGAGTATCAAATGCACCTCTCCTGGACCCAAGACCCCCACAGTTCTCTCTCTACGCACTTACATCTGGATATCATTGCTTTTGCTTTTATTATTATTGAAAAGTTTTCACCTTTCTTTGTTATTTGTTAATTTTTTGTCCTTAGATCACGTTTAGTGAACTGGGTATCTTTTGTTTTCATAGTTTTGATGATGGATTTTTGTTTGCAGAGAAAACTTTCATTCTTTTGGATAAGGATTTGGTAGAGGGAAAGTTTGTTCATGGAGATCCCTATGTGGAAGGTAAGATAAAGCTAATTTTTTTTTTTGTTTTATTTATTTTCCTCAGTTTGTTCAATTTAAAAATTCAGGTGGGATTGAAAGACTCAAAACAATTTACAATTTTATGTGTTTTGAAATCGCTAGCTTGCGTTTCTCTGTAATTTCGAATTCAGGAGTTCATAATTTTTCAATATTGTTTTCGAATTTATGAGTATATTTTTGGGTCTCAGATAGTTACAAAAAGTTATTTTTCCCCTTTCACCCGCTATATGTCCAGCAATTGGAACTGAAAATTTTTCAGTTCTCCGATGCAACTCTTCTGCTAGAGGTTTAAGAAATTCATTGCTTGTTTGAGTTTTGATGCATTCAAAGTTATGATCATTATATTGGGGGTTTTAGCCGATATTTGCATGTTTGACTTGTATAGAAAACACTGGACTGCTTTAAACATTGTTTATACATGTTGTACACCGTGTTTGCTGTCCATTAGTTAGTAATTGTGTGCTCTTGTCCAGCCATGGTTGGTGATGTGAATATTTACATGAATGACTTGGATAATCCTCAATTGGCGGAGGTGGAGATAATGATAGCTGAACTCAAAAGGTATTTTTTTTTTTAAATCTTTTATATAGTGAACAGTTTAATAAAAAATTTAAGGTTTTTGAAACATTGCCAATAAAATTCTCTGTCTTTTTAATGAAAAGCCATGTGATCATGGAAGATTTGAATTTACTCTACATGAGTTGATGGATGGTGGCATCTTAAGTATATTCTGTTAATCCATCCATGGGTCAATGAAATATACTCATTATTGAGCTCCATGTAATAATATATTGTGATTGTAATCGATTCTTTGTTAAATGACTATTTCCTTTAATTCCTTTAATGAATAGCTTTGGACATGACATGTACTATCGTTTGATATTCTTTTTCAATAGTATTTCATTTCATTTTGTTCTTGCTAGCTTAGTCGTGGTAAAGGACTTGCAAAGGAATCTGTCTTGATGATGATGTCCCATGCAGTTGAGAATTATGGTATCAATATCTTCCGTGCTAAGATTGGAAAATCAAATGGACCATCTCTAAGTTTGTTCCGGAAACTGGTCTGTCTGTCTATCTGTGTGTATCGCATTCTCTTTCTATCTGTATATTAAGGTATTATTGACTAAAGTCTTTTGATGGTTGGTGTAGGGCTTTGAGGACATTTCCTACAGTGAAATCTTCAAAGAGGTGTGAGCATATTGTCATCTGGCTATTAAAATATTTAATTAACATCATCAAGAGTAAAAGGATATTATAAGCACATTTGAATGATGGGCATTCTTTACTTCTTGATTACATATGCTGTAAACCAAAAGTTGATTTTCGTAGGTTTCATCTTATAGATCATGTTTATCAAGTCTTCTGAAATCTGACTGTACATTGAAATATTGAATTGCTTTAATCTGATGATGTTATCAAATATTTTACTGTCAATCAAATTTATTATGTTGTACAAGCCCCAGCCAAGGAGAGACTAAGAGTGAAAACACTACAGGCTGTGGATAACTGGCAAATAATTTCTATAATAAACAACTGTTAAATGTTTAAGCCTATCAAATATTCTAATCTGGATGATTAGATCTTTAATTTTTTTTTTTTAGTTTTTTCTTTTTTATTCATGCTAACTTGTGAGGAAAACCTTATATATGCATGGATTTGGATGAACTGCTAGGTTAATTTTTTCCGTATGATGTGCCTTATCTTATGTCTCCTAACTATACAAGAAAAAAATATTTTCATATTGAAGGAAATCCTTTATCTCAGTGTTGGGTAGCTCATATTTCTGTTGCATATTTATTTAAATTTCTAGTTAATATAACTTTTCTGGAACATTTTTGATAGATGACGTTGGAGTTGCCGGTGACCAAGCCAAAGCTGGAGGAGCTTCAACAGTCGATTGGTCACGTGGTTCGACATACATAACCCTGTAGGACCTATTGGATTTACTATACGGGTAAAAGAATCTCCTCCAAAGTTGCTCTGCGTTTATGATGATAAGCTGAGGATGTTTAGACTTGACACTGTCCCTTTTAAATCCTCTGTTTTAGTCTTTCAGCTGGTAAGATAGCCCTTCATTTTAAGGAATATAATTCACAAGTTGATTGAATAGCCCATGAAGAAAAAATAGTCTGGCGCTTAATTATTTTTTCCCAATTTTTCTCTCATGCATTTTCTTTTCTTTGGACAAGGCATGCCTATACTTATTTTTCCCTTGGCTATGGAGACGAGGGTAGATATCTTTAGTATTTGGAAAAACTTTGTAATACAAGGTATTACTAGCTGTTTCAAAATCTGCTGGGTTTGCTGGGGACCATATGAAGTTTTCTACTATGATAAATATAATAATAATGATAGCAACAACTAAACTTATTTATGAATGTAAAGACTTCTCGGACATAGTTAACTAGTGTAACACAGGAGGCAATCTTGAGCAGGAAGCCACACGTGATACGCCTGTAAAGTTTCTTCCTCCCAGTCTTCACTTCTATGACAGAAAATCCAGTTTTGCCATTGATTGAACATTTGGTCCTGTAGTTGAATGTATAGCAGGGTTGGTGTTTGAAACTGGCCCCTCTTGCCACACATGATTAAAAGTGGTTCCATTAGCTAATGGGCCTATAACAGCAAAGATAGTCGTCTCATTGTCGGCATATATTGCAGAAATGTTGGAAACTGGAAAGCTGAGAGTTCCAGGTTGCATTGAAGGGTTGTAACTGTCTATTGGTGTTGGGTAAACAGCCATACTCCCATTGGCATGTCTAAAAGCAACTATAGCCTGCGATCCAGCCATGCCGGACCCAGTTGGGTTGATTGCCCATGCAATCCATCTTGTTGAAGATTGGCTGGCTCTGTATGCAATATGAGCACTCTTGGTGGATGGAATGTAATTCCAGTGGAGGTAGGCCTGCAGCACCGGAAGGTCACTGCAAGAGCTGAAAACTTGGTTACTTGGAAAGGTATAGTTTTTGCAGGTTTGAGCTGAAGAAATGAGGAATAAAGATTGGATAATGCGGATTGCAAAGGTGAACCTAGGGCTTATTTCCATTTCCTTATATTAAGAGTAATTTCAGTAAACAGGGAGTTTACTGATTTTGTAATGCTGAGATATTTACGGGGAGAAAGGGTGCTAAAAGGTATAGAGTTGCATGAAGTGAACAATTTGTAGTTTGATTGTATGAAATCTGAGTCTGGGGAAGTGTCTGGAATTGTTAGAGGTACAGAGCTTTTTATACACAAGTGATGGTTGAGACATTTAATCAGTCAAGAGTTGTTGACTGTTTTAATACAAGTGTTTCTTCAGATTTTGAGTAATGTTAAATGTAAAAACAAATCTTACAAAGATTTGTGTACAAACTGATGTGCCAGAATATGAGTGGAAGAGTGAATATGATGAGCTTGATTTTTTGTATTCATTATTTCATTCATTTTGTGTCATATCTGTTTGTACACAAATATTTGTAAGATTTGTTTGTGCATCTAACAATATTGTTTCTACGATCATGGAGTTGTCTAAAGAAATCGAGGTTACATTAGTCAGGAAATATTTCTCCTTTTCTGCATGATGGTTTTCTTGTTTCAGACTTTCAGCTTCTCACCTGCTAGTTAAAGTTTAAATTCCAACCTAGAACAATTCTAATTTCTACATCAAAGTCACCAATTTAAAGAAACTAAAACATTATATGCATCCCAAAGAAAAGAAAACTTCTAACATTTCTTCACACAAATATGGGGAAAACTTTTAGTTTACTTGTCTTGTCTTCATTAAAGAAGAAATTGTGGAGATACTTAAAGAATATGAAGGCTGTCGTTCAACTATTCCAGGCTATTCTGAATGATGATACTACTTTTAAAGAAACAATAAGAGTTGAACCCAGAAAAAGAAGAAATAGAAACCTTCTAGATTAGCTACGAATATCCTTATACTTCTCAGACTGGTAGTTTTCTTCTGTTGCAATTTAGTTAAATGAATGACATGATTTAGCGCGTCTTAGCTCACCTAAAACAAAATTTGGGATTAAGGCGTTACACAAGGTCTTCAAATGACATAACAGGATTAATTATTTTAGGCCACACAATGACACAAATTAGGCATATGTGTAAAAGGGTAGAAAAAACTGGAGAATACAGACATGTAGGTGGCATATTCTGAAGAGTTGTGCGTTTCCAATACTCTAGCATATGAAAAGAACAAGTCAAAATAAATGTTTTCACTTTCAAGAAGATGATAATAGATGAGTTGACTTGGAAAGATTAGGTAGGTGTAATTGAATCTTACATGCGGTGTGACAGTGACTGGTGAAGAATTCCAGGGAATGTTTTATAAAGTTTTCATGGTTGGTGTGGACAATAAATAGATAGAAGTCTACAAAGACTGCTTTTCATTATTCACCTTGCTGGTCACGAAAGAAATTCAGATTTGAACATATGGACAACTGGTTGTTCGTCTAAACTGACAGGGAGGAGGTAAATTTGCAGATATGGGTAAATTTTATTCACATGTCCTGAGATTTGGTTTCATAAATAAGACCTCCTCCATTTTCAAAATGAAAACTTTACTAAAGTGGACTTTGGCAACTATCATTTAGCCCAACGGAGGTTGGCAAAACCATAAAAGGGGTTATCAGGTGGGTTAGTGAGAATTTAGTTGATATTGCTCAACTAATAATATTTGGAACTTAAAAAGGCAGATATCAAGTGATAATCTTCAAGTTGTCAACATACTTTCAGTTTCAGACATTCTAATCTAAGTAATCTCTGCCCTTTATCAGTTTTGGTCACTTGGACTTCATTTGTAAATAAGCATGGGAAAGCACTGTGTAAAAGGGTCATGAAACAAGAGCAAAGCCATTCATTTACAATAATAACCGGAGTCTATTAATATTTAATAAGAAATCAAAGCAGATGATTATTTCTTGTCCATAGATGAGTTTTTTTTTTGCATTGATTATGCATTCCTGACATAATTCAAAATCTTAATGACATAACGGATTCCCTTCAGCTACAGTGAGTCAAATCCTGAATAAGATGAAATCAGACCAGTTCTACATTGACATGATGATATCATGACTTCATTTCTTGCTTTTATATTCATTTCCTTAGGTGGAGCTGATCCTAATCAAACACAGATTTGAGGGACACAAAGCAAGTGGGTAAAGATATATGAACACAATAGACTATTGGAGTAGTTTAAGTATAACAGATATATATTCTTGGTTTAGGCTGGAACCCATGTCAATTATAATTATATTATTTATACATAAACACACCTGCTTTCTCAAGATCAAAAGAAGATGGTGATATGAATTTTTATTTAAATAAATATAAGAACATTAATAAAATAAAAAGAGGTTCAACAAGATGTTTACAGATTCAGATAAATTTAAATCAAAAGAGCTAATTAACTCTATTTGTTTTAGCAGTAATCTCTAATGTATCGCCAGATGGTAAACCTGTTAACTTTAGGGATACGTTATGTAGGCTTTACATCATTATTACTTGATGATAAATCTGCCAGTATAGAAATTTCAATGCTGGCAAAATAAAATTAGTTTGACCTGAGTATACCATACAATAATGTTTTATTAAATACGCAAATCAAGAATCATATTATAATACTCCAAAATTGGATTTACATACGACTCTTAATCTGCAGCAAATTTAATGTTTTAAATAATAATTCTATTTATTATCATAAATATAATGTTTCACATTATAAATCATTCAGGTATAGACCATAGACTATAAAAGAAAAAAAAAAAAAACATATTATGATTCAAGATTTTTGAATCTTATGCGTTTAAAAAGAAAAAAGTCTTTTGGACCGTTGTTCTTGTAATTGTCTCCTTGTTATGGAATGGGAACTTTGCCCCGGAGGAGGGTGTTGAAAAGACATGTAGTTGACCTAACTGAACAGACACGGCAAATGGATGGCCCACAAATCTGTTTCGGTGTCGTATGCAAAATTGGCCATCTTTTTCCCACACTGTCCAATTGCAATTGAAACATGAATATGAAACCAAAATAATAAATAATTAGTATTTCACTTTGACACGCCCGGTGGATGCTTCTTTTGTTTTCCTGACGTCAAAACACACACAAAATTACAATACACATTTCTGTCCTTCTTCTGCTTCTTCTCATATTTCAACTTGGTCATAAATAATGCGACACGGTCATACAATTAGGTAACCATGCAGTGAAGTTACCAATTCAACCAGCTGAATAGATTCTTTGTTATTTTGTAATTATCTATTCTTTGTTAAATTTTTATGTACCCTCATTTTTTCTAAAGGCTTGTCGACCATATTTGGTAGACATAAAAGCGTGTGAGTTGCACATATGGACTTAACCCAGGGAATTAGTAAACTATACTAAAGCACACCCACATGGACTTTCTTAGTTTCTTTTATGCTTCCTCCACGACCAAATATTCAAAATACAATGAAAATCCTACACATATATGTAAATAGTACGCACAATCCCAAATTATCTCTTCTTCTAATAAATAAATCCAATTTAAACATTGATAAATTTGTAGCCTTTGTCTTGTTCTCTTTTGTTTTGGCTGCTCTTTTTGTTTCATCATCCTATGCTCAGACTTGCGACACGTATACTTTCACAAACAATCAACGCTATTCCACATGCAATGATCTTCCTGTGTTGACTTCTTTCCTCCACTGGACTTATGATTCATCAACTAACACTGTTCATCTTGCAGTCCGTCGCACTGGAACCACCTCATCCCAATGGGAGGCTTGGGCTCTCAACCCTTCAGGACACCGAATGGGAGGGTCTCAATGCCTGGTGGCATTGCAAACTTCCAGTGGAGTTCGGCACCAATTGGTGCTGACGAAAGCACGCCGTCATTGCAAGAGGCTAGTTTGAGGTTCGGAGTATCCAACCTTACAGCTACATTGGAAGGTGACGAGATGATTATTTTTGCCAAACTGCAGCTTACTAGTTATTTGTTATTGACTAATCAACTTTGGCAAGTGGGTCCCATGAATGGGAATAGTCCTGGTGTTCATGTAACCACTGGAGATAATATGAGATCAACAGCTACCATTGATTTTACAACTGGACAGACTATATCTACCAGTGTTAATTTCGATGCCAGACAAGGGAAGAGGAATGTGAGTGATTTTTCAAAAAATTTACATCATGGTAAACAGAATTCTAGATGGGATTTCAAAGTTGATAGAATTCATTTGCTTTTTCAGGTTCATGGAGTACTAAATGCTGTGAGTTGGGGGACTCTTATGCCAATGGGGGCTATGATGGCAAGGTAACTTAAGGTGTTCAAGTCTGCAAATCCAGCATGGTTTTACCTTCATATTGTCTGCCAGGCTTCGGTTTATATTGTTGGTGTTGCTGGGTGGGCAACTGGTATCAAGCTCGGCAACGAAAATATTATCAATGACAATCAAATACACAGAAATATTGGCATAGCCCTTTTCGCCCTTGCAACACTTCAGGTAGTAATTCTATTTGATTTCCCTCTTGAATTTTGGTTGAAGATATATATGCTTCTGTTTATATAGTCTTCTTATATACGCATTTGCTTACTTGATGTGCAGAATTTGCATTGCTTCTGAGGCCAAAGCCTGATCATAAATACAGATTTTACTGGAACATCTACCACCATTCCATTGGGTATGCTGTGATTGGCATGAGCATCTATAATGTTTTGAGTGGCTTAAGCATTTTGGACCCGGAGAGAAAATGGTGGAACCTCTATCTTGCCATTCTTGTGGTTTTGGGCGTCACTGCAGCATTTTTAGAAGCCATAACTTGGTACATAGTGATACAGAGGAAAAGGAAGAACAATCAGAAGAACTCTCACAATGCAAACGGAGTGAAGGGGGCTAATGGAGCCAATGGAGCTAATGGTTATTGTGTGAGGACAGAGCAGGAGGTGTAGTTTATAAGTATCGTAGTATTATTTACGATTTTTGTGCTAGCTTTACTCTAGCAATTAATCCCCACCATATTATTTTTGCAATTCATTACACCTGTATTGAGGGCGTTCTAGATTATTTATATAGACTGAGAGCTTACTATTCTTTTGTAATGTTAAGAGTTTCACCGTTGTCATTGTGAGAAGAGTGCCATTAACATTGATCATACAGTGTAATATTTTTTCACTGTATACATGGATTCAGACTGTTTTTCTTTTTCAATCTTTCTCTCTGTTTTCAGTTAAGAGCTATGAGAAGTTTAATGCGCATGACAAGTTACATTTTCTATAATAAATGTTCAAAAAATATTACTAAAAAAGAAAAAAACTTGTTATAAACTCAAACGTCGACATGTAATTAATTACTTCATTAACACAGTATACGTTCATCCGACGTCGAACAAAATGCTGAGGAATTTAGAGATATAGATACACATTAATGTTAAGAGATCGCGTAGCGGAAAATATATATTTGAGATGAATAACATAGGAATAAGTCATACTACACAAAGAGACACGATATTTACGTGATTCGATGTAAACCGCCTACATCTACGGATAAGAGAAATCTATTATAGTTTTATGAATACGATCTATAAGAGTAAAAACACCATAAACTCGGTATATAAAACATAACATAAACATCATAGTTTCTAACCACGCTCAACCCAATATTAGAGTGGAAATAATCTTAGCTTCCAAGACACTCTTCCCACGGTGTTTAATAACCCTTAATCAAATATCATATGTTCTCACATTCTCTCATTCTCTTACAACGATGAACATGATGAAGAGAACACTCCACCATCACAACATCCATGTCATGGAGTAAGCATGTCAAATTCTGCTAGCATCCAGGTCGCACAGTAACCATACCAAATTTTCCCGCCAAGATTTGAGAACTACTCCACCTACAACGTAAATTTGTTGTAGTTCGTCTCCTACATGCATCCACCATCTCAAAAGAATTCATCTCCTAGATCATAACTTGGAGCTCTGATACCACTTGTTAGGAGATCGGATAGCGGAAAATATACATTAGGGATGAATAACATAGGAATAAATCATACCACATAAAGAGACACAATATTTACGTGGTTCGGCTAACCCGTCGCCTACATTTACGGATGAGAGAAATCTATTATAGTTTCATGAACACGATATACAAGAGTACAAAACACTATAAACTTGGTACATAAAACAAAGCCGAAATGTCTTAGTTTTTAACCACGCTCAACCCATTACTTAGAGTGGAAACAATCCTAGTTTCTAAGATACTATTCCCATGGTGTTTAATAACTCATACATCAACTATTATGTGTTTTCACATTCTCTCGTAACTTTGAATTCGTTCTTACCCTTATATTTATAGGTAGTATATGAGATATTCTTTTTCTAATAAGAATTATACTTTAATTCTTATTAGGACTCTTAAATTCTATTCTTATTTATAATTGTATTATTTATCAAATAATTTTCTTAAAGATATATAATTTCACATGGGAAGAAATGGGAAATTGAGTCACAGACATCCCAACAATTAACAACGGGGAAAGAATTCGTCGGTACTCAGTAGAGCCTGCAATTATTTGTGTGCTAGTTCTGACTTGCAACAGAGGAAACCAGTAAAGTTCATACATATCAACCCAAGTATTAGATGATAATGTTTTACTTTAGGATTTGGAAAAATGAGTAGAACTTTTTGTGTTGGATCTACCTTGATTATTAATAGGAGTGATAATTAAATGTTTATTCGATCTTTAATTTTAGAATCTCAAGAGATTGGTTGAGTTATTGACTCAAACATCTTTGATCATAAAAAAAAGAAAAAAGAAAAAAAAAAAAAAGGAAAAAAGATAATAGAAACAAACAATGGCTGGTAGCCGGGTCATTGGAGCATTTTAAAAATATAATTATGGATGAATTTAGGTTTAATATTATTTGTAAAATGATTCCTAAAGTTAATTGGTGGTCCTCCATTAAAATCTCGATTCGTTTACTATTAGTATGCTTGACTGGGTACTACTGTAATGGTTCAAATTGCAAAGCTGGTCAAATTAAGGAAGCCATCTTTCATGTGTGTACATAAAGGACCTTCCACGTTAAAAAAAAAAAAAAAAAAAAAAAAAAATTATTTAAGAAAAGAAGAAGCTTGATTTAATTGTGCGATGTGGCCTATAATATATTGACCTGGTTGAGGCAACATACTCTAAACATTTTTTATTTTCTTTCACAGTCCTTTTAAACAAAGGACATGTTCTTGTACGTTTCCTTATTGTAGTACTTTTTGACGTTAGCAAACTATTCAACTTGGTCAGAGATAATGGTACCCATTCCATGATTTTTAATAACCTCATCAAACAGAGAATCCCCATCTGGCATCACCTTGAAACTTTCCCAGAAAAAATAATGCAGCCTGCCGTGGTCTACATAAATATCGGGTCAATGTAAATCCTTAAGATTAAAAATAGAAAAAAGAGTAAAGATTTATTGACCGAATCGTACAATTACACATATAATAATAAATGTGTAATTGAACATTGATATAATCGAGTGATGTGAGGAGATTAAATAAATAAAAATACATGTTAACAGAGCAAATCACATTTAACGGCGGTGTCATTGGGAGTAATTTTTTTTTTTTAAAAATATAGCTTGACTTACAAATAACAAAGACTTGTTATTCTTATGGCGTGTAGGCCAGGGCTTGGAGTTGGAATAAACTATTCTCTTCATTCCCGGAAAGTTGCAGCCTACACCAAAAGCAAATCAAAATCAAATGTGAACCGAGTGGAGTGGTTGAACATGCAGACACCAAACCCAACTTTTCAAAACTAAGAAATTTCGAAACTGCGAAAAATATTACGCATCTAGACTTTCTTGCATGCTTCCGCAACAATTAATATATATTTTAATTATACTAATAAATTTTCATCAGAATTCGTCAACAAAACCAAACTCTTTAGAAAAGTCTTCAAATCCCTGTCCCACTTTTTTGTCTTATGACTCCTTCTGCCATTATTCATAGTTCTATAAATTTAAGTTCTTTGAATCTGAACTCCAACTCCAACCTTCATTTTACAATTTCAGTACTTTCTGGGAGAGATACCCAGATACTGAAAACTTGTTTTCCTTAAGGTGCTTTGATCTATATATTGGCATCTCGGAATTCTTTTAGAACTTGATATATAAATGATCAGTATGGATAAATCTTTAAAATCTGCCTTGTTCTCTTTTGTTTTGTTTGCTGTTTTTGTTTCATCCTATGGCCAGACGTGCAGTAGCTATAGTTTCTCAAGCAATCAACAATTTAGCACGTGCTTAGATCTTCCTGTATTGAATTCATTTCTCCACTGGAATTATGATTCTGCAGCTAATACAGTTGATATTGCATTTCGTCACGCTGGAACCACCTCATCACAATGGGTAGCTTGGGCCCTGAACCCTTCTGGACAAGGAATGGGAGGTTCTCAGTGCCTTGTGGCGTTGCAAACTTCCACTGGCATTCGTGCTTACACCGCACCAATCGGTGCTTCCGAATCGATGCCATCGTTGCAAGAGGCTAATTTGAGCTTTGGAGTATCAAACCTTTCAGCTAATTTGGAGAGTGGTGTGATGATTATTTTTGCCAAACTGCAACTTACTAGTGAATTGTTATCAACCAACCAGCTCTGGCAAGTAGGTCCAATGAATGGAGATAGCCCTTCTGCGCATGTTACAAGTGGAGATAATATGAGATCAGTAGCGACTATTAATTTCAGGACTGGTGAGACTGCAACCGGTGCAGGCAGTATCAACTCCAGAATGAGAAAGAGGAATGTAAGTGATTGAATGAATTTATTTTTTCATGTCATAATTATAATTTAGAGCAGTATCTAATTATTTGAAGATGATGATTAATAAGAGAGAATATTAAAGGTTAGTGAATTAATTTTTTCAGATTCATGGAGTACTAAACGCTGTGAGTTGGGGAACTCTTATGCCAATCGGGGCCATGATGGCTAGGTACCTTAAAGTGTTCAAGACTGCAAATCCGGCATGGTTTTACCTTCATATTGCCTGCCAAGCTTCGGCCTATATTGTGGGTGTTGCTGGGTGGGCAACTGGTCTCAAGCTTGGTAACGATAACCCTGGCATTCAATATGATACACACAGGAACATTGGCATAACCCTCTTTGCCCTTGGAACACTTCAGGTAATTACTCTTTTCTCTCCAATCTTAACTTAATTGTTACCTGCATTTGAACTGACCGTTTATACACTGACAAAGCACAACCATAATTATTCCCAAACTTGAATTAATTTATATTTTTAACCAACTCTGTTTCTCGGGCTATGTCACGTTTTTGCTATAGAAGACTAGTGAACTTGCAGATGTTAACTCATGTGCATAGTAATCTAATTAGAGATTTTGATTTGGGTGATTGATATGCAGATGTTTGCATTGCTTTTGAGGCCAAAGCCTGATCACAAATACAGACTATACTGGAACATCTACCATCACTGTGTTGGGTACACAGTGATTATTTTGAGCATCTATAACATCTTTGAGGGTCTTGACATCTTGGACCCAGCCAAGAAGTGGAAGAAGATATATATATATAGGTATCCTGATATTCTTGGGTGCAGTTGCTGTGATATTGGAAGCCATAACTTGGGTAATAGTTATAAGGAGGAAACAGAAGAATTCAGATAAGAACCATCACAGCATGAATGGAACAAATGGAGTGAATGGCCATGGACCTCAGCATGGTGCCTAGACACGACAGGAGGTGTAGTTTTTATGTATAGCAGAATCAGTACTATCTGTGCTTTTTCTCTTGTAACCTACCATCATATTATTCTTACAGTCCATTATTACTTTACACCATCTGTGAGGATATTTTGGATGATTTACATTTAATCCGAGAGCTTATTCTTTTTTGTTATGTTACTCTTAGTTGTGATTTGTGAGAGGAGTGCTACTTGTTCAGCTAGGTTGTAATTTTTTACCATATACACAGATAGATTCCATTGTATTTTCTTTCTGAATTATCTTTTCCCCTCCATTTATTTCCCAGGATTATTTATTTGAGCTAGACTTGCTTCGCTTCAGTTCTGATGACCCTAAAACCTGAATTTGAGTTGGGGTGGCACCTACATTAACCTAAACTTATTGGAATTTTGACTCGGTATTACTCCATTATGCAATCCCTTCTAGAATCAGTCAAAATGCCAAAAAAAAAAAAAAAAAAAACGTTGACCAGTAAGGTAGTAACAGTATGCAGCCAAAAGCCAATACAGGATTTGTGTTTGTTTAAAAAACTAGATATAACATCTGAAGGATTTTGGGCTAATGTTTTAGGGCCCTATTATCAAGGTTGGGTGGAAGCTTAGCNCTGTGTTGGGTACACAGTGATTATTTTGAGCATCTATAACATCTTTGAGGGTCTTGACATCTTGGACCCAGCCAAGAAGTGGAAGAAGATATATATAGGTATCCTGATATTCTTGGGTGCAGTTGCTGTGATATTGGAAGCCATAACTTGGGTAATAGTTATAAGGAGGAAACAGAAGAATTCAGATAAGAACCATCACAGCATGAATGGAACAAATGGAGTGAATGGCCATGGACCTCAGCATGGTGCCTAGACACGACAGGAGGTGTAGTTTTTATGTATAGCAGAATCAGTACTATCTGTGCTTTTTCTCTTGTAACCTACCATCATATTATTCTTACAGTCCATTATTACTTTACACCATCTGTGAGGATATTTTGGATGATTTACATTTAATCCGAGAGCTTATTCTTTTTTGTTATGTTACTCTTAGTTGTGATTTGTGAGGAAAGTGCTACTTGTTCAGCTAGGTTGTAATTTTTTACCATATACACAGATAGATTCCATTGTATTTTCTTTCTGAATTATCTTTTCCCCTCCATTTATTTCCCAGGATTATTTATTTGAGCTAGACTTGCTTCGCTTCAGTTCTGATGACCCTAAAACCTGAATTTGAGTTGGGGTGGCACCTACATTAACCTAAACTTATTGGAATTTTGACTCGGTATTACTCCATTATGCAATCCCTTCTAGAATCAGTCAAAATGCCAAAAAAAAAAAAAAAAAAAACGTTGACCAGTAAGGTAGTAACAGTATGCAGCCAAAAGCCAATACAGGATTTGTGTTTGTTTAAAAAACTAGGTATAACATCTGAAGGATTTTGGGCTAATGTTTTAGGGCCCTATTATCAAGGTTGGGTGGAAGCTTAGCTTAATTTTAATTGAGCCCATCTTAAATATATCCTTTACTTCTCTTCAATCCATATAATTTTATTCTAATAACTATTCAATTCAACCTTAATCACTTAAGAAATTACTTTATGAAATTTTGTACGAAATACTTGTAAAAGAGATTCCTATCGAGTAACTTTTAATCTAGTATTTACTTACAAATATACAAAACAAATAATTTCTTCGAAACTCTTATCATACAACCAAAATTTTTCACGATTAAAAAGACAACGTACGATAATTTATATATCTATGTATGTTAAAAAATGTAATGCAGTAACAAAAATGTTATGTTTGTCAATCTATGATTAATAAAAAAAACTTTATATAGATATAATTATATGGTCTCCTAAAATTGAGTGATGGATATAACAAAAGCTAGATGCTAAAGATTATAGACATATACATTGAAGTATTTGTATACAAATTACGAAACAAAAATACAAAATCTGTGAAGTTTGAGTCTAGGGCTGTTCACGAGCCGAGTCTCTGGTTTAACGAGCTCGGCTCGTGAAAGGGGGAAGGATAATCGAGTTCGAGTCAAGCTTATGATTTTATGATTTTCTGACTCGACTCGGTTCGTGAAGGATAGAGGGGATTTCTACCCGGCTCGCGAGCCAGCTCGAAAAAGAGCAATTTTTTTAGAAAAAAATTGAGTGCAGATTCCAATTTTTTACGTCCCATTTATTCTTTAAAGGACTGAAGAATTAAATGCATATTCAGTGATTGGACAGGTCACAGACACACATACAGCATACTGATAAAATAAAATTATATAAAAAATGAGAAAAAAAAAGAAGGCAGAAATCACATCAACATAATCAGGGAGACAAATAGTGAAAGTAATCTATGGAAATTGGAAAGAAATCAAATTAAAGTAATTAAAAAGAAAAGTAAATTACCACAAAAAGTAGAGCAGTAAACGAATTTGGATTTTGGAAGGTCTGATTTTGTAGCCTTGAACCAAAAATAAATAAAAAAATAAACAAAAAATCATTTATGATAATTTTTGCATCTTTATCTGTTCCGGCTGAACTGAGTAGTAGTTGTTCTCATTTCTCAAAATCCAGTCCCCTCTCTCTCTTTCTCTCTCTCTCTCTCTCTCTCTCTCTCTCTCTCATTGAAGCTTGCGTCCCCATCACGAGCCTCTTCATCTCAACTCAAATCCACTCTTTCTTCACTTTTAGCTTTTCTTTCATCTCCATTCACTCAAAACTAGCACGCCCCCCAATGCCCAGATTTTTTTTCTTCACTCTCAGAACAACCTAAGTAGAAATCTTCATTTTCGTTTTGTTTTTATTTCCATCATGAAGAGGGAGCATAATCAACTCGACCCACCAGCCAATTAGGCACCGAACGCTGGAAAAGCCAAGATGTGGGAGGACTATCCTGCGGCGGCTGATATGAAATTTTTGGGTTTGGTTTGGTTTTACGGCAAAGAGTCGGAGTCGACATTTTTAGGGATTTTAAAATCGTTGGGGTCTTTTTTATTTTTTAAAATTTTTTGTTTTGAAAATTTTTGGTTAATCCCCCATGTTTCAGAAAACCCCCAAAAATCCCCTACTTATTCAAGCCAGGCGCCTAACGAGTCGAGCAGATACAGGCTCAAATTTGGCTCGTTCTCTCTTACGAACCGAGCCGAGCCAGCTCGAATCCATCCGGGTCGAGCCGTTAACGAGCCAAGACCGAGCCGAGCCGACTCGCGAGCGGCTCGGTTCGTTAACCAGCCCTAACTGTTTGAGTCTCACAATTAATCATCCGAGTCTGTGTGTGAACGCTGGTCGCCTAATTCCAAACTAGCAATCTCTCTCATAACTAGAGATTTGTCTGCTTCAAATTCTTCATTCACTGTCATCACAAACCAATATTAATTTAGTTTCATGGTATAAGGTTTATGAAAGTAAACGAATGTAATCTACCTTTATCAGTCTTGAAGTCACCAAAGATTCGAAGAAATTTGCTCCTATTTGAGATGAGGATGCTGAGGATCTCATGAGGTTTGTTTTGATTTGCAACAAACAACTATCAACAGTAATGGAATGGACTTGTTAAAATTCTAACAAATGAATAAGTACAACCGCCAAGGCTCCGTTTTACAATTGCATTTACCTTGAACACATGAAAGCTTTCGGATTGTATGTTTTTGTTAGAATCCTGCACATGGTTTAAACCGATGAACATATGCATATACATTAAAGATAAATTGATAGATAGATAGGGAGAGAGAATACCCTAAGAAGATTCATACTGATCCTCATGTTTTGTAATGAGCTAAAATAACGTACCATAACAGCAGAATTTGAGCGATCTAGCAACATGTCTCCCAGCAACTGACATAGGGTAAATTGTAAGTGAAATGATACTAAGAGGGTTTTTTTATTTATTTGTTCATGATCTATATGGGCCAAGTATACCTTGAGAGCGTGCCGTCTGGTGATGTAACTAGGAGATTCCAGCAATTTTGAATTGTATTCTTGAAAAAACTGGTGATGTAACCACCACAGACCAAACAAATAGATACAAATATTGAGTCTTACTCTTACCCAATCGTAATTTACAGAAAGAAACTCAGCTACAGTAGATTTATGCCTCGTCAAAAGCTCCTGGGTAAATGTTTATTATTTGTCAGAATTGATTATGATACTTGCAGCTTAAAGAAAGGATAGAAACTTAATCTAAGCACAATTTAATGGTTTCCTAATAGCGATTAAAACCAATTAAGGCGATCATAAGAATTAATCAACTTAGAGAAAGAATGTTATAAAAAATGATTTCAGTCAGTGCCACTCACTTTAAAAGTTGCTTGAGCATCAGAAGCTACATTGAAATTTGGAATTTGTAGGTAATTGAAGAACTTCTTCACGTGCGGTGATTCCAGCACGTACCTGACAAATCATGCAAAGTCATTAACAGCAAAATTCACCAAATTCAAAGTTATAGACGATATAAGGATTGCAGTGGAAAATTCAGCTTATATGGCAAAGCCAAACTCCACAGATCAATATCTATCCAGCCTTCATTTAATCTTCGGTAGCTCAGCAAAAGAGCATAAACATGAACTTGCAAGAGTTTGGACAGAAAGCGTTTGAAATGAAGAGGACAGAGGATTTAAGAAACAGAAAAAAATAAGGAACAGTTCACTGTAATTAGCTTTATCCTTTAAAACTGAACAGGGGCAACTTCACTATGAATATCAAATACCATTTCTGGTATCCAATTCTTTAATGGAGGGGGACCTACTCAATATGTGAGTTGGGCGAGATCTTTCAAGGCAGAAAGAAGAAAACCAAACTAGCCATTTCACCCCTGATTATAAAGTTTCTTGCGAGCAAGCCTTCCGTTACACTAGCTTTGAGCTAATGGCAGACATAAGGAAGCTTTAGTCAACTTAATTGCTGTATAAACCTTTAAATAACATCCCCATCCTGTGATATTTAAATTCCTATTTCCTTTTTGTGTACAAATTGGATTGGTGAAAGATTCATTTTTTGGTTCGAAGAAATTTCATCAACAGTTGAAGAAAAATCATTTAAAAACTCAATCATTTTGCTCACTTTGCTACACTCTGATGACGAATGCACTCCCTTGCAATTGCACCATAAGTCAGAGCAATATCACCATCGTCATAACTGAAAAAGCCAACTTTAACTCAGCCATCTGAAAATTTTATGCAACATGAAAAATATTACAATATTCATTCACTATGTTAAAAGAAAAAGCTTACCCCAGAATCAAAATATCTATAAGATCAAAGTTGTTCTCCAAATAATTTGCGGCAATATACTTTGAGTCAACCCTTTGCCTCTGCAAATTTGCCACCACATGAGTGGCATCAATTCGCGCCTGCAAGCAAAAATGCTCACCGAAATTGACATATCAAACTACAAGATAAATGATGTGGTGTATATATAGAGATAGCAAAAAATTAATCCTGTTGGCGCTTGATTTTGGACGCCAACGCCTCGCACGTGGGAAACGTTGAGCTAACTCAGGAGATACACGTGATGGATACATGGGATTTGAATATGGAGCTGAGATTATATATTTTACAGAAAAATGAATAAAAGATTGGCAAGATGAGGTTTTTATAGTGGTTCGGAAGCAACAAGCGACTCCTACATCCACTGTTATTTTATTTGATCTCTCCATACTTCTATGAATTTGCCCGTAAGGCATACAAAGATGAAGAAATACAGTGTTTTTATAGAGAGAAAGAATTGAAGCTAAATCTCAGCCCAACCTTCCTTCCTTCGGGAAGAGGAGTGCCCATTTATTCACATTTGCACTCAATGCCATGAGAGCTTTTGCAAACTGCCTTGACACATGGAAGGCTCTCGTCCATTCATCTCTTTGAAATGAGATAAAGTTGGTGAGAATATCTTTGGAGATATGGGCTTGGCAGCTGGTACAAAGAGACATTAATTGTGCTAACATAGACTTGACTTTTGAGGCATAACAAATCCTAATTTGGGGATTATAATTGAAGTTGGTTTAATGCTTACCCCCGTGCCTAATTTTGGAAGACATACAATTAGAAGACGGAATGTGTCCCCTCTGAAGAACTCCCGGTCAAGTGTTCACAAGCATCGGCACCAGGGCCGTCTCTAGAACATTTGTGACCCTAGGCAGGAGTTACTTTGGGGCCCTCTAATAATATAAGCATATATTAAAAAAATTATTTCATTTTTTTTTTTTTTGGTCTTTTGAGATAAAAAATCACTAGGAGAGGTAGACAACAATCAGTAGGCTAACAAGGTTAGGTTGGTGGGGGGTTTTGGAGAGTAGAGATGTTGGAGAAGTGATGAGTGGTGAAATGGGTGATTTCCAATGCCAAGATTGATAAGAAAAAAACTTGAGAAGTCACGGCCCAAAAGGTATTGATGGCCGGCGATTGGTAGAGTAAACAGATAAGGTATGATAGGGGTTTTGGTGAGAGGGCTGAGGGGAGGAAGATGGTGGTGTCGGGGAAGGCCAACAATGTCGGTACATGCCAAAAAGGTTGAAAATGGTTGTCGTGTGGTGGAGTTGGGTTCCGAGATTCATAAAAAATTAGTCAAATCGAGGGCCATCAAGGTTGGGAAATGATAAAATGATTATTTCAGTCAATTTTGGTGAGAAAATCGACCGGAACCAAAATTGACCAAAATCAACTCCAAACCACTAGCGGCAGAAGAGGGCTGAAGATGATTTATGTGAATGTCAAATTTTGGGATTTAATTGGGGGTGAGTAATTTGAAATATGTAAATGACTATTTTAGTCTTCTCTTTTAACAATGTGTTAATTTAGAGGTATAAACAAGAATATATAAAACTAGAGGTACAAACTTGCTATTTTGTTAAACTTTGGGTGGGAATATATGTAAAAAGTTTATAATAAATTTGGACTTTTTTAGATTTTTTTTGGGGGCCCCTTGGCTTAGATAAAAAATTATAAACCATTTTCATTTTTGTAAGATATTCAAAAAAAAAAAAAAAAAAAGTTTATAAAAAATTTGGGTCCCCATTTTTTTGGGGCAGGCAGGTGACCTTAAGCCGGCCCTGATCGGCACTTGGCTTTGATTGATCATTGCCGTAAAGAACTATCCTGATCTCCAGGATTAATTTACAAAGCTCAAACATCTACAGTAAAAGAAACTGATAGTAAATTCGCAATTCAATTTGTTTATGATACGTAATGTAAATTATTTATACAGATCAAGTGATTGCAAATATGCAATTATACATAGAGCTTTAGAAAAAGGTAAGCTTTGTTTTTGTCATTATTGGGATAAACACTTTTATTTCAAGATTTCAGGTTACAAATTAAGATGGTATAGACAAAATTTAACAAAATGAGTTTCTCATACATTCATTAATCAATCACCAACATTAATTGAAAATTAATACCTACAAAAACGATTTCCATTATCTTCTGTTCTAAATTTGTATATATAAAAAAAAAAAAATATTAAAAAAAGGCTAAATCACAACTTCTCGCAGTTTTGTTTGCAATCCGAAAACGTTAATAAAGACATAAAATTAAAAAATTTCGGATACAAATTGGACAATATTTTACATAAACATTACGAAAATAGGACTCATTTTGTGAAAATGCTTACATTTGGATCCAAAACCAATCAAATTTTTATTTAAACCAAAATTCTGATCATCTATTTTTTAATCATCTGATCAGAATAATAATAATAATAAAAAAAAAAAATTAGAAAGAGATGAAATAACCTTTTCTTGGCGCTCACGCTCACTCGTCTCTGGTTTTTTGTGAGCTTATATGAGAAGCTCACGAGTCTGTTTCACCAGCTCAGCCGGTGTCTTTGGCTTCGATTTGAATAACCCTAATTTCATCTTCTTCTTTAATAATTACAAACCTCATTTTCTGTCTATATAAACATATATAAAATTCTATATCTATAAACCTATATTTTTTTTAATTTTCTCTTCTTCATCTCTTCTCTTCTTTCTTTTTCTTTTTCTTCTAATTCAAGCTTTCAAAGATTGAAAGCAGGTTAGGGTTTTAGAAGAGAGGATGAAGATGAGAGAAATAATGCAGTTACGTTACATGCACAACAATGAAATAACGTTACAAAAAAATGTTTCCTTGGTATGTACTTATTTCGCGTAGTATGCACGCGCTCATGCAAGATTTTCAGTTTTGGGCCGTCAGCCTTGTTGGCATGATCGGGCGATATTCAGTTACTAGGCCGGGTTGCTCAGCCACTCGCGTTTGATGTGTCGTGTGCACTGCTTCTCTGATTCGAACACGTTGACTTAATCAAGAAACGTACGGGTGTGACAGCATAAGACGAGCGTGATAAGGTTGAAAAAAATTTGTTGATGAGTGATGACAGTTGGAGAACTATTATTGCGGTTTAATTAAACTTGGATTAGGAATTAGCAAATAGAGTGGAGACATAGTTATTGGATTGGGCCATAGGGGTTAGCCCATAAAAATGGAAGGCCCAAATCCAATGAAACAAAAACCTCCACCACACAAAACACAGGACAAATCTCGATTTAGACGCAGAGAGAAGAGAGGAGCCATGATGTTCATTGTTCACAAAATGGCTATGGCTTCTTTCATCTCTTCTTCTCTCTTCCTCTCCAAACCCACTTCACCATCCTCACTCTTTCTTCACTTGCCTTTAAAACGATTCGTTTCACTCCCAACCCAACTCAGGCAGAGATATGGGTTGGTCTCTGCCACTTCAGCTTCTGCAGTGGACACTCCCGCACTTACTCAAAACGACAACGTTGAGCTCACCCAGAACCAAGTTGAGTCTGAAAAAGTCGTCCTTCCCACTAATGAGTCCTCTCAGCTCCTCTTGAGAATTCGTCACACGGTAACATAATTCACCTTTGTTTATTTCTTTTTAATTTCTTTCATTTGGTTCCTGATAAAAATTAATTATCCTCTGATTATATGTTTTTCATAACTTTTGAGTGATCGAGAAAGTCTTAAGTGGATGTTCGCATCATGTCATATATTTCTCATTTTTTTTATGGTGTGAAATGAATAAATTTTTTGTACAAGTTTTCATTTTCATACTCAAAGCATGCAGATTTGTTGAGTAAGTAATTTTATGTTATTCTTTCAGTGTGCACATGTGATGGCTATGGCTGTTCAAAAGCTCTATCCAGAAGCAAAAGTGACCATAGGACCGTGGATAGAGAATGGGTTCTATTATGATTTTGATATGGAGCCTTTGACTGATAAAGACCTGAAGAGGATTAAGAAAGAGATGGTGAGTACACTTGGTCCTTGAGTGCTAATGTTATTGTAATTGTTGTTGCGGGGGAAGGTCATGAGATTGGAAAATATTCATTGGCCTATGATTTCAGGGTACAGAATTTATTTCTTACATCATCTGTAGGATCGCATCATTGGTCGAAACTTACCGCTTGTAAGAGAAGAAATTACCCGTGATGAAGCTCAAAGAAGGATATTGGCTATTAATGAACCGTACAAGATGGAAATTTTGGAGAGTATCAAAGAGGATCCTATCACTATCTACCATATTGGTACTTCTCAGTTGTTTTTTACTATTCTTTTGTGTTGTTGAAAGCAGCCGTTCTTTGGTTCCACATTTTCAAAATTTCTTCTGTGTACCCTACACTGTCTATTCTAGCATGAGGAAGTGTGGTTTATGTAGGACAAGTTCAAGTGTCATCTTTGCTGAGTTCTTAACTCTTTTGTAATTTCATGTCGTCTTACTTATGTTGCCTGCTATATACAAGGCTCATTAGCTTTCCCTGTGTGATGGGTTTTAAATAGGGCTTGCTTGTGCATTATCTAGATTACAAAGTGGAGTAGCGTGCAGTTGATATTCAAATTTATGGAAAATTTAGTGCTCATATATTTTAATTTTGTTCTTTTTCCTAAGGTGATGAATGGTGGGACCTTTGTGCCGGCCCTCATGTTGAAACTACTGGTCAAATTAACAAGAAAGCTGTTGAACTTGAGTCTGTTGCGGGAGCATACTGGAGAGGAGATGAAAAGAAACCAATGCTCCAGAGGATATATGGAACAGCTTGGGAGAGTGAAGAACAATTGAAAGCATACCTTCACTTTAAAGAGGAAGCTAAACGCCGTGATCATAGACTCATTGGCCAAGATCTTGATCTGTTCTCTGTACAGGTTCTCTCTTGCGAAACTGATGCGAGCTATTTTGTAATAGCAATTGATAACTCAATTTTTTTTTTTTTTTTCAGTTTTATGTGTATCCCAATACTTTGGTAGTATTGCTACATATTAACAATGAGGAAATCATGCAGGATGAAGCTGGTGGAGGTTTAGTTTTTTGGCATCCAAAGGGTTCCATCGTTCGACACATCATAGAAGATTTTTGGAAGAAAACACATATAGAACATGGTTATGATCTGCTCTATACTCCCCATGTGGCAAAGGCAGACCTGTGGAAGATTAGTGGTCATCTAGACTTCTACAGAGAGAATATGTATGATCAGATGAACATTGAAGATGAACTTTATCAACTTCGACCAATGAATTGTCCCTATCATATTTTGGTTTACCAGAGAAAGCTTCAGTCCTACCGTAATTTTCCAATCAGGGTTGCTGAGCTGGGAACAGTATATAGATATGAGTTGTCTGGGAGCTTACATGGCCTTTTCCGTGTTAGAGGTTTCACCCAGGTAAACTTGTAAATCTCTCAGGTTAATCTTTTTCTGAAACTGTCTGTTTCTGGCTCGGTGTTGTTGTCAGACTGAATTTTCTGTGACAATTTGTGTTAACAAAGTGGAACTAATTATATCTAGGGACTAAAACTGTATACTTGGAAGTGAATAATCTTTTGGAACTTGTTATGCAACAAGCAGGACCATATCTTGCTTTCTTATGTTTCAATATATCAAATATTCACTGTGTCTTTTTAGATTAAGCATAGATTAATAAAATTTACTCCTTTTGCTTTTGCAGGATGATGCACATATATTTTGTTTAGAAGATCAAATTAAGGATGAAATTAGGGGTGTTTTAGATCTTACAGAAGAGATATTGCTGCGATTTGGTTTCAACAAGTATGAAGTGAATCTTTCAACTAGACCTGAGAATGCTGTGGGGGGTGATGATATTTGGGAAAAGGCAACAACTGCCCTCAGAGATGCTTTGGATGATAAGGGGTGGAGTTACCAAATTGATGGTGGTGGTGGTGCCTTTTACGGTCCAAAGATTGATCTTAAAATTGAGGATGCTCTTGGAAGGAAATGGCAATGCTCAACCATACAGGCAAGAATTAATGAATTTGATATCTATCCAAAGTTTCAATATGGGTTAGCACAGCATAAGTTAGAGTCGTCAGTTGTAATGTCTGCATAATACCTTACTTTCTATTCTCCTTACTCCCCACTCTTTCTTTTTCTGACACACACTACCCTTCTCTTCTGGAAAATTTCTTATGAAAATAACATTATTTGATTTCACTTATTATTGCAAAAGTGACTGTTCAATTGACTGATAATGTCTTTTCTTTCCGTTTCTTTTTCACTTAATATATGCAGGTTGACTTTAATTTACCAGAGCGTTTTGACATTACTTATGTTGACTCGTACTCTGAAAAGAAGCGTCCCATCATGATCCACAGAGCAGTGCTTGGATCCTTGGAGCGTTTTTTTGGAGTTCTCATAGAGCATTATGCTGGGGATTTTCCGTTGTGGCTTTCTCCAATCCAAGCTCGAGTTTTACCTGTTACAGATACACAGGTATTCATGGTTACTTCTGTAGTTCTATTATCATCTTTATTGCCTTTGATATGAATATATAGCATTGAAAATATTTCAACAAATTTGTTAAGACTTGAGATTATTGATCTTCACATCAAATAACTAATTACATCTTTATACAGGTTGAATACTGCAATGAGGTGACCAGAAAACTGAAAAGTAATGGTATTCGAGCTGAAATTTTCCATGGTGAGCGCCTGCCTAAGCTCATTAGAAATGCAGAGAAGCAGAAAATCCCATTGATGGCCGTTGTGGGACCCAAGGAAGTCGATACCCAAACTATTACAGTTAGATCTCGGTTTGGTGGGGAGCTTGGGACAATGAAAATTGATGATTTTATCAGCAGAATCAAGTATGCCATAGAAAACAGAACTTCAGTGTAAAACTCCTGGTCTTGGAATTCAACGTGCTATTGGTTTTCTATGAGGATTTGAATTCATAAAATTTACGACAGGCGGAAAATTTTTGGATTTGTAAATGTTTGTACTTGAGCACTTGTATTTCTTCAGATAATGTCCATCTTAGAAACATCATAACCTGTTCTTTGTTGGGTTTGAAAATTAGAAATGATGCTATGAATTCTTATATTCACGTTCTGAATTCTTTCTTGCAAGATTAATATTTTGAAACAATAGAAGAATTCTGTGTCTATGGCTTTGTCTCAAATATTTTGGTAATTGTGAGAGACTTCTTCTGCTCTATTTGTTAGGATGATGCAAGGGGATTTTTGTCTTGACATAATATTATGTAATGCAGCATTTATTTAAATGTAACATGAATTTTAGAGTTATATAATTCATTGTCATTTATGTTTACTTATCAGTGACAAAATATTAGCTATGATACATGTGAGACTGTGAATGCCTGAGCTAAAAATGCCCAATGACCAGATACGTAAGGCAAATCACTATTAACCCCACAATGTTTGATTTAATGTACTCCAGAGAACCTGAATTACTCACCAAAGTTTTAGGGGCCTCAGCTCAAACATGTTACCAAGACCCACCTAAAAATTAGGTCAATATTTGTGGTGTTAATCTCTCTTTTCACACTATAAATCAATGAAGCCCATTTGGACATTAATCGTGTCTTAAACTTAAAGATAATTAAAGCTAAAGAAATTTAAAAAAAAAAAAAAAAAAAATGTACTTCAAAATGAATGCAGGAGCTGCATGCCTTGTGTTCTGGTTATCCTTACTCACAGAAGTGCAGGGAACAATTTTTGATGTCAAGAAATTCGGAGCAAAGGCCGACGGAAAATCAGACGATTGCAAGGTATAACACGCAATATTATTCNATATGAAAATAACATTATTTGATTTCACTTATTATTGCAAAAGTGACTGTTCAATTGACTGATAATGTCTTTTCTTTCCGTTTCTTTTTCACTTAATATATGCAGGTTGACTTTAATTTACCAGAGCGTTTTGACATTACTTATGTTGACTCGTACTCTGAAAAGAAGCGTCCCATCATGATCCACAGAGCAGTGCTTGGATCCTTGGAGCGTTTTTTTGGAGTTCTCATAGAGCATTATGCTGGGGATTTTCCGTTGTGGCTTTCTCCAATCCAAGCTCGAGTTTTACCTGTTACAGACACACAGGTATTCATGGTTACTTCTGTAGTTCTATTATCATCTTTATTGCCTTTGATATGAATATATAGCATTGAAAATATATCAACAAATTTGTTAAGACTTGAGATTATTGATCTTCACATCGAATAACTAACTACATCTTTATACAGGTTGAATACTGCAATGAGGTGACCAGAAAACTGAAAAGTAATGGTATTCGAGCTGAAATTTTCCATGGTGAGCGCCTGCCTAAGCTCATTAGAAATGCAGAGAAGCAGAAAATCCCATTGATGGCCGTTGTGGGACCCAAGGAAGTCGATACCCAAACTATTACAGTTAGATCTCGGTTTGGTGGGGAGCTTGGGACAATGAAAATTGATGATTTTATCAGCAGAATCAAGTATGCCATAGAAAACAGAACTTCAGTGTAAAACTCCTGGTCTTGGAATTCAACGTGCTATTGGTTTTCTATGAGGATTTGAATTCATAAAATTTACGACAGGCGGAAAATTTTTGGATTTGTAAATGTTTGTACTTGAGCACTTGTATTTCTTCAGATAATGTCCATCTTAGAAACATCATAACCTGTTCTTTGTTGGGTTTGAAAATTAGAAATGATGCTATGAATTCTTATATTCACGTTCTGAATTCTTTCTTGCAAGATTAATATTTTGAAACAATAGAAGAATTCTGTGTCTATGGCTTTGTCTCAAATATTTTGGTAATTGTGAGAGACTTCTTCTGCTCTATTTGTTAGGATGATGCAAGGGGATTTTTGTCTTGACATAATATTATGTAATGCAGCATTTATTTAAATGTAACATGAATTTTAGAGTTATATAATTCATTGTCATTTATGTTTACTTATCAGTGACAAAATATTAGCTATGATACATGTGAGACTGTGAATGCCTGAGCTAAAAATGCCCAATGACCAGATACGTAAGGCAAATCACTATTAACCCCACAATGTTTGATTTAATGTACTCCAGAGAACCTGAATTACTCACCAAAGTTTTAGGGGCCTCAGCTCAAACATGTTACCAAGACCCACCTAAAAATTAGGTCAATATTTGTGGTGTTAATCTCTCTTTTCACACTATAAATCAATGAAGCCCATTTGGACATTAATCGTGTCTTAAACTTAAAGATAATTAAAGCTAAAGAAATTTAAAAAAAAAAAAAAAAAAAATGTACTTCAAAATGAATGCAGGAGCTGCATGCCTTGTGTTCTGGTTATCCTTACTCACAGAAGTGCAGGGAACAATTTTTGATGTCAAGAAATTCGGAGCAAAGGCCGACGGAAAATCAGACGATTGCAAGGTATAACACGCAATATTATTCGAGTTATGTCAAGGATTCATGATGAAGTTCATGTTAAAGGACATATGCAAAGTTTCTGTTTCGTTTTAAAAGATTTTGTTTATGTTTAATTAGGCTTTTGCAAGTGCCTGGAAAGCGGCATGCTCGTGCATGACACCAAGCACTCTGGTGATTCCGAAAGGAGAATACATGGTTGCTCAATTAATGTTCCAGGGACCCTGCAAGGCCCCTGTAACTTTTCAGCTTCAAGGAACTCTCAAGGCCCCAACAGTCATGAACAAGATGAAGTCTCAGGATGGTTGGCTTGCTTTCCTTGACATTGATGGCTTGACAGTCCTCGGAGGTGGAACTTTTGACGGTCAAGGATCAGCTGCTTGGGCCTCTAATAATTGTGCCAAAACTGGAAAATGCAATTCTCTACCCGCAGTAAGTTCTCTGTTATGTAATTATATATTAAATTCATGACATATCAGGTTTTTCTTTCTTATGATAAGGCCGCCTAATACTAGGATTTTGATTTTACAACAGAATTTACGAATCACTAAAGTTACCAATTCGAAGATTCAAGATATAACTTCGCTTAATAGCAAGCTCTTTCACATGAACATCTTGGGCTGCAAGAACTTGACTCTTCAACATATTACCATAACTGCACCAGAAAACAGCTTAAACACTGATGGAATTCACATAGGTCGATCAAGTGGGATCAATATAACCGACACAAACATTCAAACCGGGGATGATTGTGTCTCTCTTGGCGATGGCAGCCAACAAGTAAACGTTGAAAAGGTTACCTGTGGACCTGGCCATGGCATTAGTATTGGTAGCCTCGGCAAATACCGCAACGAGCAACCTGTTGTAGGTGTAACAGTGAGAAATTGCACTCTCACAAACACAATGAATGGCGTCAGGGTTAAGACATGGCCAGCTTCTCCTAGTGGCGTTGCCTCCAATATGCATTTTGAGGATATCATCATGAACAATGTTAGCAATCCTATTTTAATTGATCAAGAATACTGCCCTTATGGTCAATGTCAAACTAAGGTACTACATATATATATATATACAAATTAAACTCGTGTTTTACGCTAAATTTTGAAAGTCTATTAATCATAGAGTTGCATGATTTCTTCCTTGTTTAGGTTCCATCGCGTATTAGGATTAGTGATGTTAGCTTCAAGAACATTAGGGGCACTTCCGCGACTGAGCTTGCGGTGAAGTTTGTTTGCAGCAGAGGTTTACCATGTCAGAAGGTGGACATTTGTGACGTTAACTTGACTTACAACGGGAACGGCGCAGCAACATCAGAATGTGCTAACGTGAAGCCTACAATTTCTGGGAAACAGTTTCCACCTGTGTGTACCAGGACTACTTAAAGATGCTGATAGATGGACCAATAAATTTAAGATATATCAATAGCTAATTACATGAGCATCCCCTCATGCTTGCATTTGCATGCATGCATGCATGAGAGCGGTGATGAAATGTTGTATATTTCCATTGGCCTTTGTTGTGTTCAGAATCTGCAGTGAATTCAGCTGCTACTCATGAATAAATTTACAAATTGTTGTTAGATAAATTATCGTATAACTGATTATTGTGCGAACGTACGGTGGTTCATCTTTTCCTTTTGTATTAATGTATACATTTTGGATAATAAATCACTCAGAAATCCGAATTCTCAACAATTGGTATTTGGTACCATATCATCATTTTTCATCCATAAAAAATATGAATAATCGTGATGCATTAAGACAAAATTCTCATCCTTTAGGTATGATTCTAATATATGAGCTAATTACTATCAATAAAATTACTTTCAAACGCTATAACTCTCTTTACAGGAATTAAATGAGCATGCCATGAGAGTAAACGACTTTCAACACAAGGTTTCCAGGACAATACCAAAAGTTTAAAATACCACTTTCCTACCCAAAGTTAAACCTTCTTATTTGACACTTGATTTCTCGTCGATGTTGGTCACCGTATTTAGAGTTTCGTGTTTTTAGCTTATTTTTGACTGATTCTGAAGGCTAATATTCAATCGATCACCACATATTCAATCCATGACCTTCACTCAACAAAACCCTCTTACCTGTCTCTGGTAACTCGCCGAACTTGGTTGAAAAAGTGAAGTATATTTTGGGTATTAACAAAATATAACATTGGGTGGGAAACCGGTATTTTAAACTTTTGGGTAGAAAAGTGTCATTAAGGCAAACCTTGGGTTGGAAAAGTTTTTTACTCCTGCCATGATAATTACACTATACTTAATAAATTATTATTATTTGGTGTTGCAGGTCAAGATCCGGAGGATAAGGCATGCTTAATACTTGCAACTGTAAATATAACTTTTCAAACAATTCGTGCCTATAATGATTATGAAAATTCTGATTTAGGAGATTTGTTTTTAATTGTTGTATGTATCTGTAATTGCTTAAATGTTGAACATGCATATACTATTATAAACTCTAGTTTAATATAAAATAAATGCTTTGCTTTTATCAAATTGTCTTTGTCATCAATACCTTATTAATAATTAGATGTACATAATCAAACAATAATTAAAAGAGGATTTAATTAATATCCACAAAACAACTGTTAAAGTCGCCTTACTTTAGTTTCCAAGCTGATTGAGTTTGTTAAAATGGAAAAGCTAATAATAGTAAATAATATAACCATTACATTCTTCAAACGTAGCATAAAATTACAACGGTTGGCTCATGAATTATTGGCCATCATCTTTCTTCACTCTTCCCTCTACTATAAACGGGGTTAAGCTTTCTATTTCATTCAAACAATTATTACAAGAAACACAAAACCAAATTCAAGAGATGGGAAATTGATAAATATAGCCATTTTATCATTTACTTTTGTTATCGTTGGTATCAACAGCTAAAGCTCATAGGGTGCAATTGTTGATATAAGTAATTGGTGGAAAGAACGGTGGCTGTATCACTGAGGTAATAATTAAGCCTCATGTCTGCTGCAATTATATTGTCGTTAAAATTAATTTTACTTAACTTTGATTTCATGTATTTCTTAATTAGGCTCTGACTAAGGCATGGAACAAGCGTGTCAATCACCTACTCCAAGCAGAGTATTGATTCCACAGGATCTACAGAGCGAAAAGTGCTTCTCGAAGGTCCGTGCAAAGCTTCTATTGAGGTTGAATTTAAAGCACCTTAAAGCCCACAGAAGATCAAACAAAGATGATTCTGGATTCAGTTTAATAAAACACGGTTTAAACTATTTGGTGGTGGAACTTTTGATGGCGAAGGAGCCAAAGTTTGGGAAAAATGTAAAGGTGGTGGCTTGGAGAAGCTTCCCATGGTAAGTTTATTAATTAGGCTTGCACTGTAAGGAAATGTTTTTAATTAATGATTATGATCATATCAATATGGTACTAATCTATGTTTTTTTTTTTTTTTTTTTTGTCTTAAAATTCGAATAGAGTGTAAAGTTCAACTTCATTACCGACGGGACTATCGAAGATATATTTCTATAAACGCTAAACAATTTCAATGGCCGTCGTAGGCTGCAATAATGTAGATTTCAACCGCCTAAGGATAACTGCGCCAGCCGATAGCCCAAATACAGATGGAATACACATTGGCCATCAACTAAACTCAGGTTTGCGATTCAACAATCGGAACAGGTGTGATTGTATCTCCTTTCTTGGTGGAACCAAATGTTTCCATCACAAAAGTTAACTGTGGGCCTGGTCTGGCATGAGTTGAAGTTTAGGAAGATACCAAGTGAGGACCTCTAACTGGAATACTATCAAGGATTGCAATTTCACGAATACTGACAATGGTGTGAGAATCAAAAGTTGGCCTGATCGCTATGAAAACGCAGCAAGTGATTTGCATTTTGAGGATCTTACAATGAACAATGTCACTAATCCTATTATTATAGATCAAAACTATTGCCCGGAAAATCATGTGCTCAGGTTATAACTACTTTCCAGAAAAAAATGCTAGCTCAATTAATTTTATATTACATGTCCTTCCTATTCAAACGACAGAATTAATTAATTAATCAACATATTCACTTAAATGTCTGGATTTTTTCAGGGTCATTCAAAAGTTAGCTGAACAAAGTCTTCTTCAAAAATATAAAGGAACCTCAGCAAATCCGTGTGCTGTAAAGCTGGCTTTAGCCTGGTACATGTGAAGGTGTGGAGCTTAGTAGATTGCCTCTCATCAAGTACGCAAGATGACAGAGTTACATCATGCAGTATTTAAACCAAACGTTGTTGGTAAAATGAACCCGCCCGCATGTAGGGCCCCGTTCAGATCGGCGCAAGGGTGGAGGTAAAGGTGGAAGTAAAGTGGTGAAACGCAAGGGTGGAGGTAGAAAAAAGGAGAAAATGATTCTGGAAGTAAGGAACTTTGATTCAATTTTGGAATTCACACCTGCTCATCCGAATTTCTTTCTAGAATAAACCAACCCTTCTTGCTTTTATGATCCGATTTGGACGTTGTAGATTTCTGAGTGGAGAGTAGAATAAATGCACCTCTCTCTATCATTACCAAAATTTTACGTTTATCAATCAGAAATAAATTATTTTTTTTTATATTATTTATGTTGGTTCATCCATGACACGTTATATCTTTTCAGTTATGTTTGTGTTGAACTTTTGTATTTATCGAGATTTGAGATTCATATACAGTCGCATATATACCAATGGAGTCCAACTTGTATCAAATCTATTTCTTTTCCTTTTTCTCTCCGCTCCACTTTCTAATACACCAAAATTCCTAAAACCTCATTTCCTCTTTTAACTCGGACTCCAATGTGAGAGATTTTGACAATAAGAATATCAATCGAAAACTGAAAAAATATGTATGGGAATTAAATATATTCTATTTTTGCTTTTAGCTTGCAGTTCCCATGTTTCCAGGAGATGAAGAAACTTAGTTTCAATAAAACAGTCTTGAAGCAAAGAAAGTTAGTGAAAAGAAATCGAAAGTTGTGAAGGATAAAGTTTGAAGTATTTGCTTGATCGAAAGAGAATTTTTATTGCCTCTATAACATTTTCAATGAAACATGGAATCTCAGGTTGTATTTTCTTAATGTTAATTTGTTGCTATTGCAGATGACTTTGTCCACGGTCCGTTTCCGTTGTTGAAACATATGTATTATGATTGTTTAATCATAAAATGATGTTAGAGTGGTGACCTCTATTCATCGTTGGATACCCATTTTTAAAGTGGATGGAAGATTTTACAAGTTGATTAATGGTTATTAAGTTAAGCATGAATCACACACCATAAGTGATAAAATAACACACAAGCATATACATGTTAACCAAAACCACTCTCGACCTACATCCATGAGACTCACCAGATCGAAGCTAATCACTATAACAACAAACATTACAAGATATCACTCAGAGTTGATTTTAGCTATGGCAAAGAGAACTCACTGTTCTCGTGTTGTAACACCCAATCAGGTACCAATTTTATTTATGCCCTAACCCCAGTTGGATTTCTTTGAAGTTATCTTAGACAAATGTGAAGAAAACTCCTTAAAACTTCATTAGGGGTAAAATTTTACTCTTGATTAATGAAAAAGTGGAGAGTAAGGAAGCAAAATAATGTAGAAGATAATAGAAATGAAGGTATTTTGGTAATTGACTAAAGGATATAGATGGATTTCTTAGAAAGTGCAAGGGCAAAATGGGAATACTATTATATTAGTTATAAGATTCATGGATACACCTAACCCATTTTCAGCCCTTGTACACGCCACCCTCACCCTTTTTCTCTCAATTTCTCACCAAATCTCAAAGAGAATCATAGATTGGCTTAGATTTTGTAAGTTTCAATCCTAAAGCACCCGGTAGAGTCTAAGCACAAGTGTGTATTAAACTTTAAGGTTTTAAATTTTTATGGTTTTTGATCTAGGTCCAGAGGAAGAGAAGTTTAGCAATGGAGGTTATATCCTAGTGTTGTAATAAATCAAGGTAAGTAAACCAACTTCAGTATTGATTGAGCAATAACGTGTAGAATGATTCTTATTTTTTATGTGATTTTATGGTGGAAATTAGTGGCTGTTTTGATGTTGAATGATGTGTAAATTTCTAGCCATGAAAGTATGTATGAGTATGTGTGATTTGGTGGATTATGGAAGAATTATTGTTGAAACTTGAGTTGAAATTGAACCAGCCAGGTTTAAGGCTAAAGTTAGTGAGTTTTTGCTCAAATTTTGGTATTTAGAGAGATGTGGAAGTGTGGCCAACTAAGTTTTTGCATGTGCATATGAATTGTTTAATGAAAATCCAAAAAAGGCATGCATGAGTTGTTAAATCCTATTGAAGAAATGATTAGAGAAAGGCAAGAATTGAAGTAGAAATTATGTTGGGCTTAAC